GCAGGTCATTCCTCCAAAGGCCGTCAGAACTGCGGACGATCTTTACACATACTCTCTGCCGATGTTAACGAAGCACGAGAAAGAGATACCCGGCATGAAGCTCCGGCTCATGGGCCTCAGATGCACGCACCTGGTCAGCACTAAAAGGAGTGGCACGGACTTCTTCGGCATGCGGCACCCATCGGCCGCAGATGGCGAACCAGGCCCCGTAAACACAACAGTGGACGATAACGGCGAATGGGAGGTCTGGCCCGAAGAAGAGTTTGAAGAGGCCGCTAGACAGGAACGCCAGGACGAGATGAACGAGCTGGAGCAACTCAGCCAAGAACAAGATACGAACGGATCAGACCCTCTCACAGCAGAAGAGCAGCTCGAAGAAGCGAACAGACGGCATAAGCACGGCAGAGAGATTCTACCCAACCCCGATCCCACATACAGGGGTCCAAATAGCTCCGTCGGCTTTCAAAAGCCAGCTACAAACCATGTCCCGCCAGCTAAAGAAGAAGAACCGTTCTGGCCCTGCCCGATCTGCGCTCGGCCACAGTCAACCAACGACAAAGACTTCAATGACCACATCGATTTCTGTCTTTCGAAACAGACGATCAAGGAGGCTGCGACGGAGACCTCGTCTTCGCCTCCAGCCTTGGAGAAGCCGTTGTTAGACGGGCGGGGGAAGGAGAATAGCAATAGCAATAGCAACAACGGTGGCAGTGGCAGTGGCAGGGGTAGGCCCAAGGGGAAGCGGAAAAGCGAGGTGGTGGGTGACAGGGGGAATAAGAGGCTTTTCTTCGGATTGCAGAGGACTTGATGGCTGTATATAGTTGAACGTCATGGCATAGCGATGGAAGTGTATGGTCAATATGGGAGTCCGTCCAGGGCAGTGGAGCTAGGCCAGGGGAAGGTACCCAGGATATCCGATATACCCCTACAGCAAAGCGATAGAAACAGCATGCATTAATGGCCGGATTCATGCCATAGTAACAATACAGAAAGCTGCGCCTTCGAGAGCGCAACTCCATTCCACCAAATGGCAGAGACATCACGCTGTCAAGGGCAAACAAGCATTCCTCCCCACAACCCAGTCAACCATCAGATCTCTCAACCAGTGGGACTATTCCTCAACCTCCTTCCCGCGCCCACATTCTCTCTCCCCTCCAACTTGACCATGCCGGCCCTCCCACCTCCAAACTTCTGCGGCAGCTTACTTTCCGTGGCCTGCCTCTTCAGAGGTGGCGGACCCATTCCCACTACTTCCGGATCTGACTTGAAAGCTGTCGCTGCAGTGTGGGCCTGAGAGTCGCTGTTGTTGCGTTTGAGGGAGGCGTTGACGTTCAAGTCGATCTCGCGTAAGCTTGCTGGGTTGAGGTCTTTGGAAGGAGATGTCGGCGGAATGCCGTTGATGGCTGGTGCGTCGGTGTAGACAATTGATTTGCTTGGAGATTTGTTAGGGGAATGGGTGCTAATGGCCTGACGAGGTGATGAAGGAGCTTGCTTGCCAAGGATTTTGTCGTGAGGCTCGGTACGTGAAAGAGTGGTTGGGTACTGATATTGCGTCTTTCGGGGCGTTTCGCCAGTGGGGACGTATTCCTTTAGAGGTGCAGCTGTAATGTCGGCACGAAGCTCTGCAAGAGGCTGCTGAATTGTTGAATCAAGAGGAGGTAGAGAAGCCGATAGGGCCGTGCTCTGGGTAGACACATCGGCTCCAATTTCACGGACTCGGTCATACGTCGAGACAAAATGATCGCCAATGCTTGAGTAGGATTGGTGAACGGTAGATGCTAAGCCTTGCAACGAGGTAACATGTCTGCTGTGATGACGTTCGTTCTGAGATCGTGCTCGTGTCACAAAGTCGTCGAGTGCTTGCATCTGGGTAGCCATGTCCTTCATCTGAGCGTCGACTATGCGGATTGTCTCTTCATGGACCGACTTGGTCGTGGCCTGGATCGAGACGTTATGCTCATTGATGGCCTTCCAATCGTCCTTCATCTTGCTCTTTAGGGTGTCCTTAGATTTCAAGACCTCGCCGACAAGCAAGTTCTCCTTCTCTGACCAGACGTCCATATTGTTGTTGTAGTTCTCATTTGCTGTGTCAAGCGTCGATCTCGCAGACGTGATATCCTTTCGCACGGCAGTGATCTTCGACTCCCATCGTGAACCTTGCTCCTCGGCAGATCGATTGATAAGAGTTGTTATTTGCGCGAGCAGGTTTTGACGATCCTTAGAGGCTTGAGCGCGCTCTTCGTTGAGGCATGTCTCCAATCGAGCGGACACATCTCCATCTGCTTGGATCGCACCCTTTGCAGCAGCCGAAGCTTTCTGTCTGAGACTATCGGCTTCATCCTTCTGTGAATTGACATGCTTGACAAGCTCTTCGAAGAGGGTTTTAAAATCCTTTCCAAGCGAGCTGTAGGAAGTGTGGAGCTAGCAATCGCATCAGCTCACGACGCGAGCAAGCCAGGTCTTTCTATTGCTTACCTGAGTATGGAAAGACCCCAGCTCGTTGATGACTTCAGCTGATATACGTCCAGCAGCTGCGGATAGTCCATTCAGTCCTTCGCCAACTTTGCGCTTGACGTCTTCCCGAAGAACTTTGATCTCCTCAAGAACAACGTTCATGTCTTCTTTCGCCCCCGAGGTCTGTTGGTTTACTTCCTTTTCCGAGGCTTCGAAAGATGCAACCTTCCCCCGGAGTAGGTCTTGCGTAGCTCCTAGCTTCTGCAGTTCTTCCTGCACAAACCCCTGCATCCGGCCTGACAGGGTCGCTATGAGTTGTTCTTGCTGCGTCTTGAAATCTCCAAGTTTGGAATCTACGAGCTGAGTAACGTCAACAACTTTGCTTTGTGATGCCTGCCATCCTTGGCGATTAAGGGTTTGCAGGTCAGACTTTCTCTTGACCTTAGAGTGCAAGCCGCCAACATCAGAGACAGTCTTTGCAAGCGTCGAAATGAGTTCTCCCCCAACGTTGTTCAGCTGCTCCTCTGTGACTTGATGAGCTTTCCTGAGCGTTGTTTCTTCAGCAAGAGTTTGCCGCGTATCTGCCAGCACAATCTCTGTCTTCTCCAGGACGTCCTTGGTCTCATCGAGGATTTGCTTCGTGCAATCGTTATCCCTTTTCAGGAAGTTGAAACTACTCGTCAGAGAAAACAACTCCTGGACTTTGTTTCTCAAGTTGGTTTCCATCGTCTCGATCCTGGCCTGCTGCTCTTCGCTGAGGATCCTTCGAGACTCGCTCTCTCCTACCATCGCTTCGTAGCCTTCTGTCGTCAAGTAGACACCGTTGCGCTGTCTAGTGGCTATGAGCTCTCCCTTTAGCTTCTCAATCTCCGCAGTGAACTCGCGAAGAAGGGTCTTCTTTGAGACCATTTGATTGACCTGGGGCTTGTTTTTTATGTTTTTGGCGCGGAAGGCATAGTCCAACGTCGAAATTGTTTCTTCCAAGTTACTTTTCGCCGGCGAGACTGTTGCGATGATGCATGTCTTCGTTCGACCGCCTAAAGAATCTTGCAAGAGTCGGGTGAGTTTGGACTCACGGTATGGAATATGTGAGCCTCTTTCGACGAGCGCGTTGATGACTCTGCCGAGAGTCAGTAGACTTTTGTTGATTAATCCCGCTTCAGCAGCACGCTTGTTCTCGGCTCCACTCCGTTGTATATTCTCGCTGCCAGCAAGGTCCACCAGATTGAGCTTCCCAGCACTGACAAAGTCTTCACCAGTTTCGGTGGTTCTCTTGATATAGGCAGTCATAGTGAAGACCGTATGGCTTCGAGAACTCAGATCGTTGCACTTTGTGGCTGCCACTTGCCGCTTGTGGCTTCCGTCCTGTAGCAGCTTGATACCATCTCTTGCGGTCTTGATGTGGGCCTCCTCCATTCCTTGGACAATCGTAGCGCTATGGCCTTTCTTTTGTGCATCGTCGTAGATTTTTAACTTTGTCGTGTCGTCTAAAGAGAGCAAGTCGCGTAACTCTTCATTATACAATTCAATGAACGAACATTTCACAGAACTCTCCGCCTCATCCTCTTCAAGCTTGCCGAAAAGGGAATGTAGAACTCTTGGTATGATACCAGCCGAGTCTGAGAGAAGTCCCAGAGTGTCTGACATGTCTCCGGACATTGTGTAGGTCTTGCCAGTGCCTGTCTGGCCGTAGGCGAATATAGTACAGTTGTAGCCTTGGAGCATCTGCATCAACTTGTTAGACTGAGGGATTGGAAGGTCTGCTGCAGTCCTTACCTCCTCCAGAATTGGCGTCACAACATCATCGTAGATCATGGATTGATCCGCAGCCGGCGAGAAGACTTTGTCGAAGTGATAGGTCTTGTTGCTCAGCGCACTGGCACCCATCGACAATTCCACATTCTTCCCCTTAACACCGTCTGTAGAGACAACCACTCCGCTATTCTCTCGCACTTCTCGATCATTGCGCCCACGACAGCGAACCACCACATGAATGTTTGTCTCTTCTCCATCGGCGTCGAAATCTCGCTCCTTTCGCTTTTTTGGAGACCTTGAATGTGATGTGTTCGTTGACAGTGACATGATGCTGTCAGCTGGTGAGACGGTACCTGATTGAGTTCTCGCATTGAGCGAAGGTGCGCTTGATTGTGCCCTGGCAGGCGCAGTGGGTCTAGACATTGGCGGTCGCATTGAGTGTTTCTTGTTCGCTAGGCCAGAGGCAGGGCGCGGTATGCCAGCCATTGATTCTGGTACTACAGCTCCTTTCTCAAGTAGAGTTCGCGATATCTGCGTAAGTATATCTAGTCAGAGAGATGTAACAAGTCGCCCGTAAACATGGCGACAAATGCCAAGCAATAAACAAAGATCTGCGCTAATGCAAGGGACCAGTCAGGGCCGACTTTATGCCGATGGGGCAGATGCCCCTCGGCCGCTCCACCCCTCCAAATGTCAGCTGCCCGTCTTCAGGTAGCAATCATGTTCTCCGACACTATTTCTTCCCAGATCTTCCATCCCATTCATGTCTAATCAGATACCGATTTGATACGATGGCAATGTCTTCAAACCCAGCGATGCAGGTGCACCCAGGCCGTGGGCTTGGTTTCCTCGGTAGGTAGACCTCCGTACAAGCTTCGTTCTTGCTAACGGACTATAGTCTTAGGAGCTTCGTTGCACGATGTCTTGACGCGACTGAAAGCCCAAGTACAGGTTTACCCTAGCATAGACGTCTCCTATTCGCCGTCCAAGCCTCTTGCTGCCCCTGTCATACTGAATCTACCTCCGAATGGCATTCGTCTACGATTCGATGGACCTGACCAGAGACTTAGGCTGATCGAGGTCCTGGATTTCACCAAGACGCAGTTGATCTACAAGAATACTGATCTGGTCAAACTACCTGAGACAACAGGGCCAGATTCTTCAACATCAAGTTCAAGCGGCCCAGCCTTTCGACACGTCTACAATAGACTAATGGGCCCCGCGTTTCCTGGAGAATACATTCCACCAGCTTCCAACTCGGGCTTGACCCAAGGATTGTACATACTATCATACCCGGGTATCGCATTCACGTTTCCATTCCAGGATTCCAAATGGGATCCTGCCAAGGACTTTGTTTCTTTACTTTCTTCCAACGCTGCTGCACCCGGGAAATCGATGGCGATTTTTGGTGGTGAATCATGGCAAGATGCGTGTCACGAGTTGATGATTACTCCATGCTCGAACCCAAGGTTACTTGCGCTTTCGAGCCGTGGTAAAGAGTTCCGCCCGCGTGAAGTTGATCTTGTTAGAATTCGTGGCAATGGTTGGGTAGACGTTGAAAGAGGTGCCAATACCCCGAACTTTCGGATCAGTCTGGGCAAGACCACTCCACAAGATCTTGTGGCAGAATTGGGCCCACCAGACGCGATATACCACAAATCTGACCGGAAGATGGCTGTCTACAAAATTCAGCATAGGGATCGAAAAACCGCAAGGACCTCATCCGGCACCTTCTACACTAATCATGAAGACATGACCGATACTGATCAGTCCTCTCTGCAATCAGCCACCGACGACTCAGACGCTGAAGAACGGTCGAACGCTACGGGTAACACAAAGGCAGACTCGTCTGCCGAATGCTTCTACAACTACTTCAACCATGGGTTTGATATCTTCATCTCACGGCCCACCCTTCCGGCCCCTAGTTTCTCTTCTGCTGAGAATGACGGCAGAGAGATGGTCGAAGTAGGGGAGTCAAACCAGCTTGTGGCAACAAAGGTTCTCTTGCACGCCAACGTGCCAGGATCTTATCCATTTAATCGCTATCGCCGTAGTCGTTGGGTCATTGATGTCCAAACCTCTGAACTCGACGGTGCCTTGAATTCGGAGACTCCCTTTACCACACTGTCTGGATCCCTCCGGCAGATCTCGCGAAACCATTCTGCGGGTGAGAACGGCGAGGACTCACTCCAAAGGCACATAGTGCTCAACAGAGAATTGGCAGAAAGTCCAGGGAGCAGCTGCGAACTGCTCGGCGGATGGGAGGAAAGCACAGACACCCAGCGAGAAGGCTCAATGGACAGTACGGCCAGAGATGGTCCAGGGTACGGTAACACTAAGCTGTTTGGTTTTCCTGGGTTATTGTTCGAGGTACTCAGGAATGATGCTGTAAGCTGCTTGACGGTGTATTGACGGGTAGGTATTGAGAAATTCTGGGAAGAACATGATAAATATTGCGAAGATACCCCTTCTAGCGTAGTGATATTGGAATTAATGACAACGTATCATTCTTCACCATTAGAATACAGACGAACAGCCATAATATTCCCATGTTACACATGCAACAATCCGTAGTTACTTTCAACGCTATGGGAAACATAACCCAGTCTTGGTTTGAACTCGAGAAATTTCAAGCAATTCGACTTTTGGTGATGACTAAGCTCGACTTTGACAGAATTAGCTGGTTGTATGTCACGATATTGATGAGGCATGCTTGGGCCCAAGCCTTCTTGGAAGAGGACCTTACACCTTCCCAAAAGTACTTTCCCACCCAGACCGAAGGTATCAGACCGCCCAACATACATCAAGCGATGTACAGATGACCTATACAAGTGGCAGAAAGACCGACATCCAACCCCTACATTTACACTACATGACGGGCCTCCATACGCGAATGGTGACCTACACATTGGCCATGCGCTTAACAAGATACTGAAAGACATCACATGTCGCGTTCACTTACGGGAGGGTAGAGTGGACTGGGTCCCGGGTTGGGATTGCCATGGACTACCAATCGAGCTTAAAGCTCTTCAAGAGCAGGGGAAGAAGCCTGGCATTCTGACTGAGAAGGCGGACCCGGTGAATATAAGAAATGCGGCGAGAAAGCTGGCAGTAAAGACGGTGGAGAAACAGAAGAAGTCCTTTCGAGAATGGGCGATTATGGCAGATTGGGACAGTGCTTGGACTACAATGGACAAGGGTTTTGAGATCGAACAGCTACATGTCTTCAAAGAGATGGTGAAAAAGGGCCTTATCTATCGGAGATTCAAACCAGTGTACTGGTCTCCATCATCGCGGACTGCGTTAGCGGAGGCGGAGCTTGAGTATCGGGAGGATCATATGTCTACGGCTGCATTCATCAAATATCCACTTCACGACTGTTCAGAGGCTCTCAAAGAGAAGCTCAACATCAATATAAAATGTCTCAGCGCTGCCATATGGACGACTACACCTTGGACTCTTCCAGCGAACAGAGCAATCGCATTTCACAAGGACATAGATTATGAAATCGTCCATTCTGCGGCCCACGGCTATATCTTGCTTGCTGCTTCTAGAGTCGACGAGTTGCGGAGGCACTGCAAAGAAGGTTTAAAGACCCTTCTTTCCATTCAAGGAAGAGAGATCAATGGAATGACATATCGCAGCCCAGTGTTCGACAGCCAGGCATCGCCCAGGCCACTGCTACATGGGGATTTTGTCACGGAAGGATCGGGATCAGGGCTGGTTCATGTGGCTCCAGGTCATGGCATGGAGGATTATGAGTTGTGCCTGAATCATGGAATTCCGGCTTTTGCTCCCGTCGATGATGAAGGTTGCTTCGTTGACGGCATAGAATGGCTGTCAGGTCAGGATGTGTTGACCACAGGAAACGAGTCAGTACTAAAGCGTCTGTCGGATCTTGATTGTCTCATAGCACGACATGATTACAAGCACAAGTACCCATATGACTGGCGCTCGAAGCAACCCGTCATCGTGAGGGCTACAGCGCAGTGGTTCGCAAACGTTGGCGACATTCAAGAGTCTGCTTTGGAAGCATTAGACTCCGTGAAGTTCATCCCTACAAGCAGCAAGACTCGACTCCAGACCTTTGTCAAGAACCGGAATGAATGGTGTATATCAAGACAGAGGGCGTGGGGCGTGCCTATTCCAGCGCTATACAACATCGAGACTGATGAGGCACTTTTGACTGAGACCAGTGTGTCTCATATCACCTCAGTCATCAAAGAACGTGGCATAGATGCATGGTGGACTGATAATGAAATGGATCCTGCATGGACACCGCCACCGTTAAGGAGTCACCAAGGCGAGACAAAGTATAGGAGAGGCAAGGACACCATGGACGTGTGGTTTGACAGCGGGACAAGCTGGACTCAGATGCAGAGGGTATCAGAAAATCATACTCATATCGCTGACTGCTACATTGAAGGGACTGACCAGCACAGAGGATGGTTTCAATCCAGCCTGCTGACTCATGTGGCGTACCAAAGAGAGACTGCTCAGATCGAACCGGAAGGCGGTCCAGGCTCCGTACAAATTTTACCATCAGCACCCTACAAGAATTTGATAACCCATGGTTTCGCTTTGGACCAGGATGGGCGCAAGATGAGCAAGTCTGTCGGCAACGTCGTGTCCCCGAGTGAAATCATGGAAGGAACACTTTTGCCTCCAACGAAGAAGAAGATCAATGGGGCAATGACCGAAATTCGTGATGGTATGGGCCCAGATGCTCTTCGCCTGTGGGTTGCGAGTTGCGATTACACTACCGATGTACGAGTCAGCCGAACTATGCTACAGGCAGTCAATGGCAGTCTGTCGAAGTATCGCGTCACTTTCAAACTTCTTCTGGGTATCCTTAACGACTTTGATCCCTCAAAGTGCTCTAGCTTTAGAGAACAGGCCAGCAGTATCCACCAAATTGCCCTCCTGCAGTTGCTAGAGGTGAAGTCTAGCGTGGAGAAGCACTACCGCTCAATGGAATTCAACCGAGCTATGGCCAATATTAATGCTTATGTCAACACCAATCTCTCATCTTTCTACTTTGAAAGCATCAAGGACGTGGCTTATTGCGGCACTATACAGGAACGAGCCCAAGTCCAAGCTACACTGTACTGGATACTTACCGAGCTGCAACAGATGCTTCTTCCTGTGACCCCTTTGCTTATTGAAGAAGTTTGGGACTACACCCCGAAGCTCATTAAAGACTACAACCCTACACCACCTGCAATGCGACTACGCAAAAACTCGAGCCTTCCAGTTCAGCAAGACATGGGGAAGCTTTTATCGAAGTCTGATATTCCTCTTTTAATGCGAGCCTTAGCTGCAGTCAGGAATGGGCAGGAAGCTGCTCGAAATGACAAGAAGATGGGAGATTCCCTGCAATCGTACGTTATGTTGGAGATCAATCCGATGCTGGAAGCAAAAACCCCGGCTCTTGACCTCTTGAGGCGCTATCAGGATGACCTGGAAACTCTCTTCGTGGTGTCTCACGTCAGCATTGTCGAAGGGGGAAATCTATCAAAATTAGACAAAGCCAGGTGGTCCTACAACACGGATTGTGATATTCAGGGGCAGATGATCAGAATACATGTACACGAGCCGGAGCAGGCGAAATGCAATCGATGTTGGAGGTATAAAGCCCCTTTGGATATACCAAAAGAGGACGCTCTATGCCGAAGGTGTGCGCTGGTGGTCGACGACTTGAAGGATCGAACGCCCGGGCTTTTCGAGTACGGTCTCCGTACTTAAATTGCTACTAGGGCTTGAAGCCATTGTAAGGGGAAATTTCTTCCACAACAGCTAGAGTTTGCATACTTGATGAAGAGTCTAAAAGAAACACCTGCAATGACCTCGCTACTTGCAAAACCCCCGTCATGGTGTTCTGAAACCGAATGCATGCTATGATATGTCAACCTTTGTGACGCGCTGTCTTTGCATGTGACTTCTAGAGGGTACTGTAGTCATCAAAGAGACCCACATGTGCCCAAATTCTGAAATTTTTGATGTAAACAGAGGCACCTGAAGCGGCTAGCGCGCCGTCAATTCTACGATCAACTTTGTCTAAAGTTTGAGCACTCAGCACCCGACCACCAACCACCTCCTCGGCGCTTAGTCGTCCACTACCTCAGAATCTTGCACAACTTTCAAAATTGCTTAGTCGTCGACGACACCGTTGCCGAGCCGAAAGGCTTACTATTACCACCAATATGCGGATGTCAGACGAGATCCAAGCTCGTCTGAACCATAGTGTTCATGAGCTTTGTGAAGTCCAACAGCTTTTGGCTACTGCATCAGACCGCGTTCAGACTGCATTCGACGCGATCCAAGTATGCAACGCTCGTGCTGAGGAAATTGACCCTACCATCAATGGATTGAACCGTCAGATCCACGCATTAAACGAAGACATGGATAGAGTCTTCGCTTTACGCAACGATGAGAGTGGCTCATATCTTATACAGGAGAATGCTCAGCTGAAGAGAGATGTCACAGCTCTGCAGACAGCTCTTCGCTGTGAGATAGGGCAGCACCAAGCTCAACTTACCGACTCGGTCAAGCCTGATCAGGAGTTGGTCCAACGCGTTCAGAGCCTTGAGCAATTCATTACTCAACTCAAAACAAGGATCAATGAGATGAGGGAACAGTACGAGAGTGCGATCATTGACAACGTCGACCAGAGACACACCATCGCTGCTCAGGCGGACACTATCAAGGCCTTGCAGGGCACCCCAGGTAAGTATTACAGAGGTTACAGCCCCTTTTTACACGAGGCTGATGACCTACAGCTTTCAATGTTATTGCCAACACTATGGATACCAATGGCGCCACTTCAAATGGATCTATTCCCTTTGGCAAGACAGTGGTTGAGACAAAATGCGGCCTTACTGTGACAATTGAGAGCAGTCCTGACAGCAGCCCCAAGAAAGCCAGCCTGCACCATGGTTGGATCAATGAAATCCCCAGCGGCGCTGCAGTTCCATTCCCAGACATCGCCCCTCAATCTCAATTCACAAGTCTTGCCCCAGCCAATGGAGGATCTACACAGGTAGCCATCCGTACACCGGGTAGACCAAAGGGATGTGCTATTGTGAAGGGGACTCAGGAAGCCAATGAGTCATTCGAGCGTATGCAGCGCACCCTGAATTTTTCACCTTGTAGGTGGAAGCAACTTAGACTTTGAAACTCTTGCTAACCCCATCTTACAGTGGCCAATCTTGAGAATATTATTGACACTGACAACAATGGTACAGCGGATTCATCTTCATCTGCCTCAGGCTCCGCTGTTCCCATCATCAGACCCTTTGGCGGGCATCCTGTGACGCCGAGCAAAGTGAAATCCAAGCTCAACCCCGTGGTCGAAGCTTTCACTCCGTCCAACAGCAGTGGCAAAGATTCAGCAAAATCAGGCAGCATGCAGGCTTCCTCTCCGAGCAAGAACCAATTCAAACCCTCGGTCACCGCTACTACCACCAAGGAGAAAAAATTCGTCCCACCTCACCTTCGTCTTTTTTCTGAGGTCTCCAACAAGAAGCAACCGGTCACCATCACAGAAGAGCTGTCTGTCAAAGACAAGATCAAAGACCAGAGCACGATCGTCACGAGCAGCCTGAATGAATACACAAAGGAAGCGGAGCCACTCCAAGCTACCCCTTTGACCCCTCGTGTTCTGCCTCATCTACGAAGTCTGACCAACGTGATCAAGAATGAAGATGCACCTCCGTCTCAAGAGCAGCGCTCTGGCGAAGGCAAACACAAAGAGGATACTATCGAAGGAATTGAGCTCTTGTCACACGAGTCGGCGCTCAGCGGCATGAATGAGAACATGGAAGCCGCAACCACCTCAAGTGCCTTCGTGAGGCCTGATCCAGGACTTCAAGCCTGGCTCGATTCTCAAGAAAAAGCTCAACCCAACAATGCGTCCGCCAACGATCCAGCATCCATGACCAATGACACGCTCATCGAGATCGAGCCCGATATTTCACCCAAAGCTGGCGAAGATAGGACAGTACCTCTGCCACCGGGCTTCATCCCAATCTCTGCCAAAGACGCTCCCGTTGAGACCGAAACAGCTGCTCCCATTAATCCCGACCAAGTTGCTTCTCCTATCGCCACCCACAGCCGCGTCATTCACCGCAACCCAACCGTCGAGGACGAAGGTGCTGCATCAGGGCAGGAAGTCTCAGTCAAGCCCAGCTCTGAGGAAGAGAAGAATGCTACTTTTTTGGCCGAGTACAATAGGAAGCTCAGCTCAGTCAGTGAGAAGTACGGGAGGGATTCACGCAAGGGCTCGGATGCTAAGGAGGATGGTGTTGACCCTATTAAATACGAGGGTCCTGACTCCGTAAGTCTTGCCATGTTACCAGTCAGTCTTTGGGTGCATGTACTAACGCACGTACAGAGCTACATTCCTTCCAAACCCACTGGTACGCACGAACCAGGGGCCCTCCTCGACAAGGAGTGCTACAACTTGGTCTTCAAGCCGCGCCAGGCGGTCAAGGTGGATGGCGTTGGGCAGGAGTGGAAGGCGGTCCGCAAGAATGGAAAGGTGGTTTACGTGTTGTGATGAAAGACATTGTTCCCATATTTGTGGCTACTCATACGGCAGGCAATCACTCCCTGGGTCCTATCGATCAGAGCCGAAGCCTTTAGATAGCCACAACTTCGACAGACGGTGAGTCACGCTTCGGTGTGCATCAGGATATGTTAGCGGAAATGAAAATTTGCTTGTCAAAGACGTGAAGCCCCGGTAGTGTCTTCATATACCTGGGGTTTGTTCCTTGCCACGTACGAAGATAGTTAGATGCTGTTGATCTGCCTGGTAAAGCTTGTCCCTCCACTGTATTTGTATCATTCTGAGGAATATACGAGGGTACTGGTGATCGACCGCATACCAAAAGTAAGACGCTACCAAGACAAAAATCGAATAGGCTAAGATACCAGTACCTCGGCCTGTCTCGAAAGATTACTCCTCATCCATTGGTCTTCTTTATCTATTGGTGGAATTCTCCGATTTTTACAATGGCAAAGGTTAAGATACCGCTTATTGACCTCCTCCGAGAAAGTTTGCTTTTCACACTCAAGAACGACTCGTACAGACTTGATCCTCCCAAGTATGCAAATACAGAACTAGTATACCGGCAGTAACGGATACACAAATGGTGAGATACCGCCAATGCTGCTCTCCAAAAGGTTGCTTCCCGTAGAAATGCTTCATAGTCCGAGGCTTATCTCACTCGATCCCATTCTCTCACGCTATCGGTGAACCATACTTTCTACCACGGCTTTTTCCCTTTTCTTGTCCCTTCTCGACTCTAGACAACTCGCCTCTCAACCAACGATTCTCCTCAGCTAGTGTCATTCTGCCTTCCTCTTCAGCCTTCACAAGCTCTTCGAACCAGGTCTTCTGTGCTCCAAAATGATGCGTGATCTCTGCCCGAAGTGTGGTGAAGGAGGCCTCGAGGACCGACTTGACGGCCAGGCTGCAGGTGCAAGGACAGGGCTGGGGTTCACGCTCTAGATCGAGGGTAGAAAAGAGCAGAGGTTTTGGTGCTGCTTTTGGTGGGGATGGAGATGGAGCTTTACCATCTGGATAGGTGGTGGAAATCCGCCAAGAGGTGTTTGCTGCTTTGGGGGGAGACGAAGATGGAGAGACTGTGTACCCTTGGAGAATAGTGTCGGTAGCAGAGTCACTTGACGATCCCTTCAAAGATGAGGCAGGAGGCGGTGCATACTTCTTCGGATCTGGAAGCCCTTTATTAAGCTCTGGGATACGGGGCGATTTCTTGAGGGATGGCCATTGAATGATTGGACCATCAGATTCTGAAGATATAGGCGTGATCGTATGACTATCGGAGGCAGAAGAAACTGACAGGCTGACATGACCTTTTTGCTTTGGCTCCGAGTTTTGCTTGACCCCGGGTTCGGTAGACCGCGTGGACGGCAACGAAGGCAGCAACTTGGGTGGAGAGCTCGCTGGAGATAGGCTGATAGGATTGGCCGGAGCATCAGAGATAGAAGGGGTTGGCATGGATGTACCAGCGGACTCCGGAGGAGATAGACAAGCTAACATGGCCTTTTCTCTTAGACTTCGCCTTGGAGGGTCTTTCGCCGGACGGGTGGGTGATTTGCAAAGTAGGAACGGGCTGGCGTGGCAAGCCCGCAGTCCAGTCGACTACAGTATCATCAGAACGTTCCGTTGAATCCGACGTGTGAAGATGCGACACCGCTGTTTTGTAGGATTTGTTACTGGTTGCGGAAGACACTGGCGAAACTTGGGTAGCACGTTGAGGCGTCTTGGGGGGAACATCCAGCCATGCGTCTTCGGGCTGCTCGGACTGCTCGGACATGAAATGGACTTCCGAAGCCTCGGCATTGTCTTGAGAGTCGTTCGTTCTAGGGCTAGGCGGTTTGCGAGGGCCAAAAAGGACCTTCGTCTTTGTCGGAGGGTTGGTAACAGAGAGTCCTTTAGACAATCTAGGATTGCTAGCGCTCACTTTTCTTGCCTTGGCCATCATACTCAGGTAAGATGTACTCTGGATGTCAGACTGGCGAGATGTTTGAGCGCGACGCATCGATAGCCGACCTCCTGGCTTGGGGCTAGGCCTTGGTGGTATGGGTGGAGTCGAGCCGTCTTCGATCGATGCTTGAAATGACGATGATTCTTCTGTCTCGGTCTGCGAAGAACTCTCTATAGCTTTTCTCTGTACAGTCGCACTGGAGCTTCTCGTAGTGAAATGAGTAGGCCTTTCTTGACTGTCGTTGTTGGATTTATCTGGCCCCACAATTGCATTGCCCTCTCGGACACCATCTCGAGGATTCATTGCTGCCATTGTGGACTCTTTGGAGGGCGGCTCCCAGTGGAAAGCTCCTAGCGTCTTACGTGGAGTAGTGAAGTCGAATAGAGGATCCTCGGAGTGCTCAGCGATATTGGACGACATAGCTAGAATTTCCTTTTGTAATGGGCGGGGTTCAGCAAACACCGAGCTTCCCAGGCTCTTTCGCTTCCTCTTAACAACAGGCGATCGACGAATACCAGAGCCGATGTTCTGGTGTGGGAGCATGGCGCCGCTTCCAATCTGTGTCCATTCCACATCGATAACTCGAGCACCTCTGTCATCCAAAGCTTGTTCTCCCAGTGCCTTGCCATCGAGATCGAAAAGCAGCACCCTCCCATCTGAACGGCCCACAGCGATATAGTATGACTCGTTCGGTAAGTCATGTCTCTGTTCAGGCTCAGCATCATCTGCTCCGTCGAATTGACCGATGATGACTTTCTTTGTCGAACAGACGATTGATAGACTTGTTGCTGGTCGTCTGATATGCCACGACTTAAGCAAGACTGCCTTGTGCTTGGTAGGCTGCGTAAAATCGACAACGCAGCATTTGCCGTCAGCACCTACGGTGACGACTGTCGCTTTGCGTCCCGGTACAAACGCCACTGCCGATATGCCGGATTCCTTCGGTCCAATACCGCCTAGATCTATACTAGGGTCATAACCCTCAAGAGTTACACGACCTTCTGTCGCCGCGTTCTTGGTCATATTCCCTAGGTGAAGCCCTCTCATGAACGCCTTTTCGCCACCAGAGCCCCACACCCCAGGATTTTCGCGACGTTCGCCATTGCCATGGCTGTCGTAGAAGTAGTCGGCGTCGTAAACTGCAGCTGTACCGTCTGCAAACGCGAGACAGAAGTAGTTCTCTCGCTCTGGGTGAAATTCGGCAGCGACTACCGCAGATGAGGAGGACTGAGGACGCAGTAGTACCGGTGGCGTTCTGAATGCTAAGCTCGTAAGGTGGATCGTTGGCGGAGCGGGTGATGTAGAAAGTAAGAATTGCGAAGTACAGGAGAGAGCGAAGACAGACGGAGGTGAAGGGTGGGTATGGGCGGGGTCAAGAAGCTTAGAGTGCTTCAAGGAGTACGATTGGACGGAGTTCTGAAGTGTAGTTGTGAAGAAGAGGTTCCTCGACTCTTTGGCATACTTCAATAGCCTGACTTGGCCCTGGGCAGAGTCAGCTGGATTGAGAGGGACTTTTGGAAAGCAGGACACCGACGTCTGATCCTTTCAATCGATAGCTTCTCTGCATCCCTCCACTGATATCGTGCAGCACCACCACTTGACTGTCGGCGATAGCGAGCATTTCTCTACTGCTGGCAATCTTCTTGGCTGCAACAATGCCTTCAGAGCCTGAACGAAAGATCTCAGAGATACCGTAAACATCCCAGATGTACACTCCCTTCCCCGTGGTTATGATCAATCGGTTGGACGGTGGAAAAGAGAAAACACCCCAGCCACGAAAGCCAGGCTCTTCTGTAGCACCTGAGGATCCTTGGCGTGAAGGAACGATTGGAGGTGGGTTTGGTGCTCTGGCTGACTTCGTCATTGCTGCGTTCTCCGGGCTGTCATTTGCAAAGTGTGAAGTGTTTTAACATCGTCTGAGGTCAGCAGAGGATGCTCTTACGGTAACAGTCCAGCCAGGGAAGGCGCTATAGAGGGAATCCATGAAAACGTTACTGCTGCCAACATAATCAATCCTGGAAGGCGCCCTCGTTGTAACAGAGTCTAATTTCCCGTTCCGATAGTCCCTTATCAGCGCTTGGACGAAGAAGCGGAAGGTATTGGCGGAGGCTCGCTGATCGCATGATTCTTGGTCTCGAGGTAAGGCCTTGGCTTCTGGGCCAATGATAGCATTGTCAATCTAGAACGGCTAAGCAGCTGTAGGGAATGGCCACTGATTTCGGGAAAAAATGCCAGTCAATAATGACACCTAGCCCATGCTCCCTCCACTAGCATTGTGATTGCCGATCAAACCTGCCATCTCCAGTAAAGCTCTGTCTGATTCAACATCTTTGCCCATCCTCAAGGTCTTCCTCGCTGCCGCCTCTCGATCTTCGAAAGCCCATGCGGCTCTTTGCTTTTCGGCCTCTTCATCTCCGCCGCATCCCCAGATCTCAAGACTCTCAATCTCGAATCGATCTTGCCAGTCGTTCTTTCGGGTTTGACTCGGATGAAAAGAGCCACCTCCATTACTATCGTGGTTTAAAACGCCGAATTCTAGAGAAGCATCAAGCAACAATGAGACAGCGCCCAGCGTGGCATGTTGAGAGAGGCCAGACACTGGTCTAGCCCGAGGTGGAGGGTTTCCAAAGCTGACGCCGTGCTTAGTGAATGTAGCATACTCTGTATTTATAGTGCTCGCTCGGAAGACCTCGTGTATCGGTTCGAGCTGAAAGAGTAGAGCATCAGATCCACCTATAGCTTCTTTGTATGTATGCTTCCAAGGCACATCAAGGTACGCGCCGAAGACCACCCTTCCAGATGTACTGTTGCCTGAGGCCCCGTTGGGGAATCGCTTGGGGGGTAAAGTATCGGCAAAAGCACGTTCCCGTGCACCATCCGGTTCTGATGGCAAACGAGTGCCAGACACGAGCAAGAGGCTGGGTGCGCGCCAGTTGAAGACCTTTTGCTCAATTGACCCCATACTGAAACCAGCTTCACCTCCCATGTACAGCGGTCTCAAGCGTCGGAATAAATTGCTTCCTTTGAGGAAGAAGGCCAATTGGCAAAGGACGTTGAGATCAAGAATCTCTCCTTCTCGAGGGAGAAGTGGCTCGAGCGGAGTATCTAGTACCTGCGGTACAATCGAAGGTAGTTTGATAGGCGAGGATAAAGGCGTAGAGAATGACGATTGTCTTCGACGTTTCGAAAGGTCTATGTTCTTGCTGAAAAGGAAGTGTTCAAACAAGGGGTTGAGGCCATCGAACATGTAAGGAAGAGACTAAATCATTCCTGATTCAGCATTTCTCTTCTGAGGTCAAACCTTCACAAAACAGGCCTCCAAAGGCTTCAAGTTCTGCAACAAGTCTCGCAACTCGAAATGCAGTACGAATGAGGAAGACATGGCTCGGACAAGACAACTCACTGCGGGTATGATAATGTTGAATGAATGATAGAAAATGCCTGGATTCTGCTCCGGTGTGAAAGACCACAAAATACTGTCCGCCACTCGGCGAAGGCCTTCAACTCTCGCTGCTGTCAAACGCTGCGCGTGCCCGGAAAGGCTCTCCTGCGCATCCAATGGCGCAATGATAAGAAGTAGCATAAGTAAGCGTCTGAAATTATCGACTGGTATTTGGGCGTGATGGATCTTTGTATCGGCTCTTTGGTCGAGCTTGAATACCTCTATAGCGTCCAACGAGTCCAATGCCGCCAGAGCCAGTTCGTCGTCGTCCTCTTCTTCCTCGTCATCATTCGCGGGCTGATCGATAGAGAACCGCGGCGCATGACTTTGGATAGGAGATGTAATCGCCGTTTCTCCCGACCCTGGTTGCTCTTCTCGCAAGGCGTCCAGCGCTTCTTGTGACGGTTTTTCATGGACGGAACTCATCCTCCGATCGAACACTGCCAGACTTCTGAAAAGCAATTTGTTGCGATCTGCTTTCCCATTCTTTAATACTCTCCCATACCTCTCCGTCATGATGACAACGACCTTAAGCATGGCCTCGATCGTCAGAATACTTGGGGCCAGGCTAGGGAATGGGAACGCCCCAAGATAAGTAGCCTACAGACCGCATATTAGCTAATTATAGATTGTACGTAGCTCAAGAGGCATACCATCTGATAAATGAGAGGTCCTGGGCCAAGGGCATCAGGTATGACCAGAAAGCGACATAACGTCTCTTCCTTCCAATAGTGTATGCCGTCTTGCTCATCGGCCAGCGATCGAAAGACGTCCTTGAAATGGGTGATCTCCAAAGGCGTGAAGCACTGGATGGCCGTTAGACTGGAGAGGTTGGACCGCTCGAAACAGGCATCTTCTCACCTTTCTAGCGAAGCGTAACGCGAGCTCATGGCTGAGTTGCTCTGTAGGACTGTTAGCTTCAACCTCGTTTCTTGTTCCCAGGATACGGACCAGTGGACACGTTACGAGCACCTTGCTCCTCGGAATGCTGTTGACCCATTGCCGGTTTGTGCCAGTGCTAGAAACGCTGGGGAACGGGCGTGACCGTCGACCAGCATAGATAAATTCCTCGAGCATCCAAATTCCTAAATCCGATTTTATCGCCGTCTTGGCGTGAACTGTTAATCAGGCCGCTGTGGAGACAACCCCTCCTGCTTCAATTGTCCTCCACGGTGACCTTCTCTCATTGCAGGGAGCAGGAGTGCAAGTGGCATTCACGGCCCACGGCCACAATTATGTCTTCCATGACAGCTTCAGCATTGCTAAAGAGCCGAGTTCGTCGGCCCTCGATGCTTAACAAATTATCAAAAACCTCTGATCTAATTGACCTTTTCCCCAACGGTGCCAGCGTTGGCTGGTCCGGCTTTACAGGTGTTGGCTATCCGAAGTAGGTGCCTCGAAGCTCAAGCCATATCAATCGGTCTCACAACGCCTCTAGAAAGGTTCCTACCGCCCTTGCCGATCATGTGGAGAAGAACAAATTACAAGGGAAGCTCAAGTACTCCTTGTTTGTAGGAGCGTCCAGCGGAGCAGAGACGGAAAATAGATGGGCAAGGTTGGACATGATTGAGCGTCGGAGTCCTCATCAAGTTGGGAAAGAGATTGCAAAAGGCATCAATGAGGGCAGGATACATTTTTTCGACAAGCATCTAAGCATGTTCCCCGTGGACTTGATGTACGTGAGTACGCACTGATGGAGCTGGGTCAATACCTTTGCTGAAATAGATAGGGTTACTACACGAAAGACAAGCCAAACAAAAAAATAGATGTGGTCATTGTGGAGGCTTCAGCTATCACGGAAGACGGAGGCATCGTACGCCTACAGCCGTGATCTTGCACCGCATCTTGGCTAATAGTCTTCATAGATTCCTGGTGCAAGTGTGGGAGCGTCCCCAGAGCTCATACAAATGGCAGACAAGATTATTATAGAAGTGAACACAGCCATGCCAAGTTTTGAAGGACTACACGACATTACGATGACTGATCTGCCGCCGCGAAGGAAGCCTTATCTCATTATGTCTCCTGAAGATCGGATTGGGACCGCTCATATTCCAGTCGATCCGGAGAAAGTTGTGGCCATTGTCGAGAGCGACTACCCTGATCAGACGCAAGGAAATGCTCCTGAGGACGATACATCTAGGGCTATCGCTGCACATCTGATCGAGTTCCTGAAGCATGAAGTTGCACAAGATAGGCTTCCCAAGAGCCTATTGCCCATACAGTCTGGCATTGGAAACATTGCGAATGCTGTAGTAGGGGGTCTAGCCCACGGGAATAATTTCGATAAGCTCAAGGTTTGGACGGAGGTGCTTCAAGACTCCTTCCTAGACCTCTTCGACAGCGGTCATCTCGACTTCGCAACTGCAACATCGATCAGGTTCTCTCCTGATGGGTTTAAGAGATTCTATGATGGCTGGGAGAATTATGCTGGGAAGCTGCTCTTGCGGTCCCAACAAGTCTCCAACTCACCTGAGATCATTCGACGATTGGGAGTCATTGTAAGTATTTCAGAGCCCATCATTTTCTCTTTTGGACAATTTCTTGAGCCTTGAGACATTCTTGGGCAGTGTTTACCTCCGAAACATGTTCCAACGCTCGAATTTTCCCCTCAAACAGGCAATACTGACTGCGAAATTGTAATTCAGGGCATGAACACCCCTGTCGAAGTGTAAGTCTTTGCCAGAAATCCGGCAATTCTTCTGCACTAATACAGTGACAGTGATATTTATGCCCATGCTAACTCGACTTGTGTCATGGGCTCGAGAATGTTGAATGGCTTGGGAGGTTCTGCAGACTTCTTGCGAAGTGCGAAGATTAGTATTATGCACACACCTTCGACTCGCCCATCCAAGACAGACCCCACAGTACGTATTTTCGGAGCCCATATTTCCCCTTTTGGATCGTTGAGTCTTGAGACATGTCTTGGGAGCCTTTACTCTCGATACAAATGTCGAGGCCCAATGTACCTCCTCGAATAGGCAATACTGACTGCGAAATGCTGATAGGGCGTCTCATGCATTGTTCCAATGTGCACGCACGTGGATCAGACTGAGCACGATCTCGACGTTGTTGTAACAGAACAAGGCCTTGCTGATGTTCGTGGTCTTTCTCCTCGCGAGCGAGCCCGCGTCATTATCAATAAAACAGCACATCCAGACTACAAGCCCATTCTGCTGGACTACTTTGAGCGAGCAGAATATGAGTGTCTAAAGAAGGGCTGGGGTCACGAGCCTCATATGCTCTGGCAGACTTTCAAAATGCATAAGGAGCTCAACGACCATGGGACTATGAAGATAAAGAACTGGGATCCTTGAAAAGGAGGGTGAGAAGGTGACGCTTTCAATGTTTTTCTAGTGTATGTACTGTATACTGCTGCACTTCGTCGCTTGAGCTTGTAGCTTATGAGGAGGTAGGGGCATAGAGACCGAGTTGGATTGATTGACCTTGGTTTTGTAAAAGAGATTATGATCATGTCCCGCATAACATTCGCAGAAGAAAGGCGAATGTCTTCCTTTCCGATTCAATGTTCATCTCGAGCATCTATGCCACTGGGAAGAAAATAGGTATGAACGGATTGTTTTCTCTTTTCATGTGCATTCGATCTACATGGCGGAGTAAGAGGCACCAACGCCGTCCCAGATTGCTCACATGATGGTGTATAACCGCAGCAAAGCGCAGACATTCCGACTGGCGCCCGCACTGGGATGCGGGGAATTGTACGAGTACAGATGAGATGGGACTTGCTACAACGGCCAGATCTGAAGATCATACCGGTGTTCTTGGGACACCGGACCAGTTGGGCGCAAAAGAACCTTATCACGCCCGTGACACTTTCGATGAAGCGGCGAGGCCCACTTTCTCATAAGTGGTTAAGCCTCGGAAAGCTCAAAGATAATTGATGATAAGGTACTTGATCAGATTTCCTAGAATCTTGTTAATGACGGATACTTCTCCGCTACCCCAGTCAGTGTCACACATGGCATTCTTCCCATGGAAAAGCTGTTATAAGCTGTTATGCGCAAAAAGCAAAGAGGTAACTACCTATCATGAATTATGAAATGCAATGAATTGGCAGCATTCAAGTACCCCCGTACAGTAATCTCTCCGTGACGCAAGAATTGGCGTAGTCTAGCCAGATATAGCCATGGCTTTCTTACCGTCTTTTCCAATGACGGAGAGGAGGTCCTTATTATAATTAGTCGTGCCTCAGAAATCCTTGATTCACCAGCCGAAGCGCCAAGAACCCCGCTCTGTCCCGCCAACCAATCAGCAAGCGAGGCTTCGCTTGCAACAAGTACCCAAGCTCTCTCCTTCCTTCCTTCCTTCTTCTCCCACCTTCCTCTTCTTTTACTCCATAACAACAACTCCCTGATCCAATACTTTCCATCATAATCATCATATCAATTCCTTATCAAGTTCTCACTACACAATACAACTAGAGCAGTAAAAGACTGCAACAATGACAGGCGTCATGGAAGCTCTCAAGCACAAGCCGAGTGTGGCTCCTATTCCGAGCGTACGTCCAGTCTTGTCTAATGTTGCCCCGACACGGGCTTTTCGCTGCTCTTGTTTATTGGGACTTCGACTGACCTCACAGCAGGTGGTACCAGGTAATACACCTATCTACCAGGAAGCTGGTGATGTTGGCAACCGCACTCTCTGGTAAGCCTTCCCCTCATCCATCCCTAGGCAACCATATTCATACTTGTGCACATCAGGGTCGTCTTCGTCATTATGCTCATCTCCTCCATTGCATTCTACGCCATGGCCTTCCGTGTCCCAGTCGTAAGTAACCCACCCACCCTACGGAATACCAACCGCAAGATGCGTCGACGCTGACTTTCGTAGCAAAAACGCCTGTTCCACATCTTGACTGCCTTCATCACTACCTTCGCTACCATCTCCTACTTCGCCATGGCCGTTCACGATGGTGTTGGCAAGAATGAGATTACTATCAAGCACACCCAGAAGCACTTCCCCGACACCTTCCAGACCGTCTACCGCGAGGTCTACTGGGCCCGCTACATCGATTGGAGCGTCACCACCCCACTTCTGCTCTTGGATCTTTGCTTGCTCGCTGGACTGGGCGGTGCCAACATCTTAGTTGCCATTGTCGCTGATGTGATCATGATCTTGACCGGTCTCTTCGCTGCCTTCACTGTCGAGGAGGGCCCCAAATGGGGATGGTACGCCATGGCTTGCATTGCCTACTTGGTCGTTGTCTACCAGCTCGCCTTCAATGGTCGTGGTGTGGTTCAGAACAAGGACAAGAAGACTGCTACTTTCTTCAGCGCCATTGCCGGATTCACCCTGGTCCTCTGGACCATCTACCCAATGTATGTTTGCACGCCAATTCTAGGCATGCGAAACACTAACGCGTCATAGCATCTGGGGTGTTGCTGATGGATCTCGCAACGTCAGCGTTGACTCCGAGATCATTGCTTACGCTGTCCTCGACATTCTTGCCAAGCCCGTTTTCGGATTCTGGCTCCTCTTCACCCACGACTCCATGTCCGGGTAAGCAATCATAATACTCCTTACCGACCTTATGCAAGGCTGATTTCTACTAGTACCGCTACCTTAGAAGGTTTCTGGTCAAAGGGCATGTCCACGGATGGCGCCATCCGCGTCGGTGACGATGATGAGGGTGCGTAAACGCAACATCGTACACGATCTGCCAGGTCATGATCCGCTGCCATATGACCACAAATGCAGAGTCTACAAAAATCGGATCAGAGTGCCCAAAAAGAACATGTGGAGAAGCTAGTTGTGGAAGGTGGAACCTAAGTATTGAATTGTGCATAATGAGCTTGAGAGGTGGTCAAAATGTTGTGCTGCAAATCTCCCTTTCCTGTCTCTCCTTCTTCCAGTTCTCATTTGCTCGGCAGCATTGTCCGAAGCATGTAACATAAATGACAAGCCTGAGAAAGTTTTGTGTTCCAGCCTCGCATGCTCGTGCTACATGAAAGTGCGAGAGTGCAATGTGCCTGGCCACCAATTTCGGCGTATGTACATGATGCGTAAGTATCTTCTTGTCATCGACTCACATGATAAGCAAGGCCGCGTGTATGCCGCCGGACACCCACAAGAGGTACTGTTGTAGTGACCTACTGATATCGTCTTAACTGACTAGCCCCAGCCTCAACCACTGCCTTTTGAAGACTCATTTCCAACAATCCAACTGTTGATGGCAAGCTGACAGTGATGACATACTTGTGAGATCTGCATCTTAAAATCATACAATGAGTAGCATACCTTCCTGACTTCGCTGGAAAATACTTGTATGGCCGAAAAAGATATCTTCTTGATAAGCACGGAAGTAGGCACCAATCACTATGAGTTGTTGAACCCTCAGTAATAACATTTTTGGTTGGGTATATCCGCGTCGAACGGCTATGCTATAAGAAGGTAGGCTTCTCGGCCGTACGCTGAACTTCCTGGGGAGCCAGTTAAAGATGTTTTTATTCGGCGTCACATGCAGTTCCTCATTCTGTAGGGTCCAACTCCATTGCGATCTCTTGACTAAGCAGCAGACTAAAGATGGGTGCGTTGGGCGCCACATACTCCCGGTTCGGATTATATATGATTCGACAGCGACGATGCCGTTATTACGTTGTAACTGGTAGCCCAGCTGCTAGAACCCTTGAAGACCAAGACTTATCTCAAAGGAGACAGGATAATGCATGACCCGGTCTTTACCGAGAGAGTTTGATAAACACCGAGCCTAACCGAGTATCTCAGCGTTCCCAAGACGAGCGTCGTGCGGATTGTTGAGGATTGAGCTTCGAAGTTTCATTCGACTGGATTGTTACCCTGGGTAGAACTTAATGGATCTTGTGATCAAAGGGTTCGGACAATGCCGTCCTACCTTATCTTACTCCTCTTTGATGTACTCCAGTATACTTTATGGAGCTGGCCCCTCTTCCCTCGATGCTGGAGATATCCCTGCCCTCCTTCCATCTCTCAAGTCGTATTGCACACCTCTCTTTACTCTTCAGCTTTTGACCATCGTAGCAATATTCAGAAATATTTAGAAGTGTTCAGAAGTGCTCGGAAGTGTCCAGATATACATCGAACAGGCTCTTAGAAACACAAGCATACATCAAATATTGTCACGATGACACCAGCTATTCTTGGTGCAGATGTGGATGGTCTAAATGGCTTTCATCCTGCAACATCCAAGGTCAATCTTGACTCGACCGAAAGAATCCCAAATGGCCACCATCCCTCAATTTCCACGACAATCCCGTTCAGAGATATCACTACCAATGATCACCCAGCGGCCTTCGAACCCGACACATGTAATGGGAACCGTCACCATCTCTCGGCACCCGCAAACGGTCTTTCAAAAGAACCCACACGCGATCATGAACAAGCAGACTCTGATATCTCAGACTGTTACCGCCCTGCGGCATCTGCTACAAGCACTTCTATTAATCCCACAGACGACGCCCATCAAACGGATTCTGACATCGCAAACGGTAACATCTTTGAGAAGATGCAGAACAGAAAAGTGGATCTCGGCCCTCATGCCAGCATCGTTGTGCGAGAGTGGAAGCTCTTGCGGAACTCAGTCACTAATGTGACGCCCACGTATGTTGATACCGACTATCTTGGGGTTGCCAAAATCACTGCAGTCTCAAAGTGAGTGCACCCTTTTACAGTGAGGGCCTTGTCAGAACTCATCACGTTGAATGGGATTGTCCCTCCCACATACTGCGTCTGATCGATCAGCGGATATCAGAATCTTCAGGCAGCACTCTTGAGCCTCATATGTTTGCCTAGTGCTTGTCAGAGAATCTATAAAAGAGAACTCGCTGACATATGGACTAATGAAGGCATGGCATGAATGTAAAGCTTAAAGACAAAGCTGCCGCTACAAAGCGTGTCAACGAGAGCGTAGAATTCCTGGCTCAACGCCTTGCGGATGGTCGTTCTCTCTATGGTAAGATTGATCACAAGGGGAGATCTCCCGATCTCTAGAGCATGCGTTCAGTACATAAACGCTAACTTGTCCGGTCTCTTAGGCATCACAACCGGCTTTGGCGGCAGTGCTGACCTTCGAACCCTCAAGGTTATGGACTTACAGCGGGCACTAATTCAGCATCAACACAGCGGTATTCTCCCAGTCGAGAAAAAGGCCGGATCGATCCACCTCACCTTGGGCAAAGCGCCGGGCGTCAATTTCATGCCCGAAGAATGGGTTCGAGGTACCATGCTCGTTCGCTGCAAGTCACTCCTCGCTGCCCATTCAGCAGTGCGCTTCGAGATCATCGAACTAATTATATCATTGCTCAATAACGACATGATACCTTTGGTTCCTTTGCGTGGCTCTATTTCTGCATCCGGGGATCTTCAGCCGCTGTCTTATATCGCCGGAGTACTGGAAGGTAATCCAGATTGCTATGTCTGGACAAATGATGGTAATTTAGGCCGGATTATTATCCCAGCAGACGTGGCACTCGAACATCTAGTGCAGAAATCCATCACTTTTGGACCGAAGGAAGCTCTTGCAGTCTTGAACGGAACCGCTGTATCCACCGCAGTGGCAGCACTGGCGATGCAGGAGTCACATACTCTTTAGCCATCTTCTCTCAAGTGCTGACAGCCATGGGAGTCGAAGCCCTGCACGGGTCAACTGGCAGCTTCAACGCTTTCTTCGACAGAGTCCGCCCTCACCGCGGTCAACGAGAAGCCGCTGCGAATATCCGCCTGTTCCTCACCGGTTCTCAGCTTGCTCACCCTGAGCAAGAAGATGAAGAAAACCGCATAGGTCTTAAGCAAGATCGCTACGCTCTTCGCACATCACCTCAATGGATCGGCCCTCAGCTCGAAGACCTCGCTTTAGCGCACGAGCAAATCACCGTCGAATGCAATTCGACAACCGACAATCCTCTCATCGACATCGAGGGTGGCGCCATTCATCACGGAGGAAATTTTCAGGCAGCCTCTATCACTTCGGCTATGGAGAAAACACGCTCTTGCCTGCAAATGTTCGGCCGGATGCTTTTTTCTCAGTGCACTGAGCTCATCAATCCGGCTATGAACAACGGACTGCCACCCAATCTTGCGGCTGATGACCCGAGCACGAGTTACACGATGAAAGGTGCAGATATCAACGTTGCAGCCTATATGTCTGAACTAGCATACCTGGCAAACCCCGTAAGCAGCCACGTGCAGACGGCAGAAAATGGCAACCAGGCGATCAACTCGCTGGCACTGGTCTCGGCGCGATACACCCACATGGCCATCGATTGCTTGTCGATGATCTGTGCAACGTATTTGTACATCTTGTGTCAAGCCTTGGACATTAGGGCTATGGATCGTGGCTACCTCAGTGCCATCGGTCCTGCTGTCAACGAAATCACTGCGCACATCTTCGAAACTGCGCTTAGCGATGCCACCAATGCGACTGCTTTGAATCAGCTGCAATCGAAATTGCTGGAGCAAGTTGTGAGGCAGTATAGTCTCACGACCTCTCTAGACACTAGTGACCGCTTCAGCGCAATCGCCGAGGCCGTGCAGTCCACCTTGACAACAGCCCTTTACACCGACGGCAGCCTGCCAAAGCAATTCGATGCTCTATCAGCCATCAAGCGGTGGACGGATCAGACGTCGACGACTCTCCACAATCTCTTCCTCCAGCATCGACAAGCCTACTTTACCGCTCCGGACGCCACCCCGTACCTCGGGACCGCATCATCACGCATGTACAGCTACGTCCGCAAAGATTTGCAAGTGCCCTTCCACAAAGGCTTGGCGGATCACCCAACCAAGGATAACAAGCTGAAGACGCTTGGCTCGAACATCAGCATCATCCATGAGGCTATGAGGAGTGGACGACTGTACGATCCTGTTCTATCGTGTCTGGGAGCGCATCCGTGATCGAACCTGAGGCCGTCTCGGGGCAATAGGCCATAGGAAGCTTATGTTCAAGAACATCAGCCCGTGCGGCGACGAGAAACGCCATTTCACGAGCCAAAGAATTGCGGCCGACATTAATGGGATTGAGCACAGAACAGAGGCGTTATAATGAATGACATATACCCGCTCGGACAGCGTGCACTTTGAAACGTAGACCGTGTAGTGAGATACGTAACAAATAATTGACAGCCCACGCCCAGCACTAGCACAGGGGTGGAAGCGACGTAGATGCATGCTGCCACCGACGAAGCTGCAGGCAGGATGATAAAAGTGCATCACTGTAACAACGATGAAAATCCCAGTCAACATCCAGGTGGCCATCTCACCATCCAGCATCCCTAATCCGCCATCCCCACTCCACACCGAGGCGAAGTCGTGCCTGAATCACGACAACGAAGTAAACCCCTCCCCCTCCCCTCCCCCCCCCTCCTCTTCCTCTGGCGCAAAATAAATACCTTGCGAGTCAAACCACGCAACTACTCCCATCATACCCACCTTACCTACCCTATGTAGACAGCCAGCATCACTCAGCCTTAAGATTACAGCCCCGTCCCTCCCTTCCTAACCTAAGCTACCGTATCATATCACGCCATCCTACCTTACCGTATACACCACCAACACCCACACAGGTCCCCCCAAAACCCCCAAAACAAGCACCAAACACCAACACCAAAACCCCAAAACCCAAACCCCAAACCCCAAAACCCAAACCCCCAACCCAGTCCTCTAATAAAACCGTCCTATTTCACGACCCCAACCCCCCACCTGCCGTCATTGGTCGGACTCCGGGTCACCGGTCGGACATCCACTTGGGTCTTGGGGGAGATTGGGGCTGCGCGTCGTTTACGTTTACGTTTAGGGCTGTAATTAGATCGACGCGCCGCGCAACGTGGTCGACAGGCATCGGAAAGCCTTCCGTTGCAGGATTAGGCAGACGGGAACTTCTGGCGGGAAGAAGAGGAAGGGGGGGTTGGAAAGGGCTGTGGAGATCAGATCGGGGTGGTTACTCGTGAGAGGTTATTGGTTTGGTGGGATTTTCTTTTTTGGGGTGGGGTCCCGGGAGGGGGGGAGGGTCATTGGGGACGATTACCACCAATGAGTCGGGGAGTTTGCAGTCACGCGAGGCGCAAGCAGGATTGCGGGCAGGAGAATGTATTGGTAGTGTTAGGAATACGAATGTTTAGCGAGAGATTTCTAGGTATTCAGATTGCTCGAGGTCTTGGTCGCTTCCAGAGAAACCGTGACCCTTTTGTCCGTCCAATGCACTCTCCGAACACCAGTATTGTATATGTACAGGGGTATATCTCTCAAACAAGTCAAACGCTAGCAAAGCAAGGTCCCGATGATGTGTTGCGTAATGGTGGTGGTGATCGTTTGATGAGTTTGGTGAAGTGTTTGTGGTGCAAGAAAGTGGTGGTGGTGGTTCACGGCGTTAAAATTTTTCCTCGGTGACCGAATCGGCGGCGCACGTGCTTGAGGCTGATAGCTTGGCGATTGGTGGTGTGGTGCTCTTAAAGTGTATTGGTGGCATGATGCAAGTCATATTTTGCCGTGCATAACCGGTTTGAGATCTGACATGGAATGGTAGTGTGCGATCAAAACCGGGTAGAGAAATCAAAGAGGGATTGGTTCCTGAGAGGCTGAGAATCGAGTCCCGGTGAATCCAGAGAAATGTGCCGCCGGGGAGAGGGGGGAGGGAGGGGTTGCCAGTGTCCAGCAGCAGGCAAATGAACGAGTCCAATGTGTTGGCTTCCCACAACGTGTCCAATGGGAGAATGTAGTCCGGGGGGTTTGTTGAGTCATGCTGGGATCAGAAAGCACAACTGCAGGGCCAGAGCCCTACACAGTAGACCGAGAGAGATTGTGTAGTTTGTGGAGCCGGAAGTGTAAAGTGTGGTAGAGAGAGAAGGGATGACCCTATTTTGGGATTTTAGGAAGAGGGCGGTTGGGTGGTGGACCTGGGCAAGGAGGGTATTGGGGCTGTTGTGGACCATTGTAGTGATATGAGGGAGGCATTCTGTACAATTGGAAGAGGCGAAGAGGTCGGATTGAGAAGGGTCTGATTGATGGGAGATTGAATATTTGACTTGGTGTGAAGCGGCTGGTGTACTTCCTGGCTGTTGATGTGGTTACTTGAATGTGTGGAATGTAATGCTGTGTGGTTTTAAGAGAGAGTCAAGGGGGGGAAGGTGCTGGGTATTTATGATTTTTGGCGAGGCCGTCATCATCAGCAACGGCCGCCAAGTCATACTGCCGTGCAGAGCCGTGGTACCTTAGTGGTAATTTGATTTTCGGGAGCTAAGTTTGATGATGAAGATATTCAGGGCCCAAGCAAGTGGGATGAGAGGCATGAAAAAAAGGCATGAGACAGGGGTATCGGAAAGAAAGGTCCAAGGGAATGGGAATGGGAAAGTAAAACGGGAAAGGTCAATCGCTGAGTGGTCAATCCTTTCCCTGAAAAGTGACGACTTCGAAGAAATTAGCGCAATTCTTCCCGGGGCTGAAATTTCGGTGTGGGTTGGAAATTTAGAAAAAAAGTGGCCACCTGATGACAAGACCCCCCCCCCAACTCCCAATAATTTGGCCAGGATCTTCCGCCCCCTTGCTACCTCCGCCAATCTCGGAGAAGAGACGTTGCAGAGAGACATTGAACGGTTTGCTGATTGCTTTGCAAATTGCAACACAATCAAAACCTAAGAAAAAGATCGGAAAACGCGGCTGCAACAGATTGTTATGCAAATCAATCCGTCGACGTGACATCCTACCCTAGGTCCTCTCGGCTTCAATGGACCAATGGTCAAGGGTGTAAGACACCAAAACCATCCGTTGACTCGTGGACCTTGACATCACCAACGCAACAGTAGCGGCTCCCAAAACAGCGGAACCTTTGCACACTTCCTTTTTGACATCTTCTAGCTTGCTTGGTAGTTACGGGCTGCTTACGGCCCCCCCGGATTGCCTGTTGCCAAAATTGGAACCGTGTCAAATCGATAGTACGATTGAAGTTTCATGGGGGGCCAGGACGAAAGCGAAGATCATGGATACGAAGAGTTGCTATCAGCAGCATGCGTGCAATGCAAGTCATCTGACTCCGTTTCAAAAGCACCGGAAATTATTCAACCGAATGGTGAAACCTTGCCCCCTTTTCTGGCTACGTGACGACAGACGACAGACAGGACAGCCATGATGTGCTTTGATTGGCAAATTGCGTTGCCTGGAGAAGTACATACAATCGAGAATCAGCTGGTTACGGTACAGAAAATCAAGGCGGGTGTCGCCGCCATCTCTATCACAAGCGGGACGTTGAAGGCCTCGTGATGCGTTGTGGCGCAGCGACTGGGCGTCTCGGCTTCTTCCTTGATTGGAGGCAAGCTCATGAACGACAAGAACACCATCAAATTATCACGCCACCACTGCGGGATACTATTACCGAAAAGCCATAGCACAGACGGAAGTATGTAAGGGGGTGGTGTCGTTGACAAGCTTGCATCGACAGATTGGATGATCTGCAGGGATAAAGCACAAGCACGTTTCCAACCGAGCGCACGTGGCAATATGCAGCTAGGAAGTTAGCGCTTCCTTCTCTGCAGGTAGCCAAGGATGGTAAGGTAGTTAAGGTACTTTAGGATCAATGGGTCCTCCGTTACAAACAATCGTCCTAAGGTACTTTTGCATTATGCATGGCCCCTCGTATCAGATACTCGTGGTCTCCACTCGACTGCCAGAAGACTTCGCCCGCTCCGATCTCAGTCTCACATGTTTATGGAGAGGTCGTTTCGACGACATGTGCAATACACCCAAAGAGAATCCGATAACCCGAGCTTGCTGTCCCTGCACTTCGGCTTATCTCACGACTTTCCAACATGATCAACCTTGCAAAGGAATGCACACTTCAACCACTTCCTGTCAGACAATCGGACCGCCCGATTCTACAGAACAAAGGGGAGCATTCGTGGATGCATTTTAGCCTCACAAGCTGCATGTCATATGTAATGCTCAGTACAGCTCCGGAGCGCTGGGTTTGCGGATACACTTTGCTACCGGCATTCCTAGATCGCCCCTAGAACCATTGTGGAAGGTTTTGGCCTGTGGCTTGCATGCGGGAAATTAGATTTAAGAATGCAAAGTGGCTTCAAGCACATCAAGCTGATCTTGAAACAAAAATAGTATCAGAGCAATCAGTATCGGCAAGATCAAACGAGCTGTGGGCAAAGGGCGCTCAAGGTGTGTGTGCGTTATGTTGATTGTGAGCTCCAACCCCTGCGAGTCTTGCGTGGCGCGGAGATGTCCGTCAACGGTTCAAGGGATTCAGACTTCAGTTCTATGCAGTCCTGCACTATCATACCGTAAACTTGTTATGAGAAGATAGAGCACCTTGAGGAAACGCGACGGCTTGAGTGCTGACGCGAGCATAGGATTGGAAATGCTGATCGCCGCCAAATAACAAGCCCCGAGGGCGTCTGAGGGCATCAATATTTGTCATGCTCACTGAGTTGGCCCGATTCAATCTTCCATTCCGTCTTTCCTCCTCCCACAACCATCTCGGTGACCACATACAGCTTGCCCAAACAGGTAATTCCCATCGAAGCCTGTGAATCCTTCACATCTTTGTTGGCTCCGATTCCATCATCTTTGGGGTCCACCAACACCGCATCAACCGGAGCAGCTTCCCAAAATGTGAATACAACTGGAGCCATTCCGTGGAACGAGAGCTTGATTCCTAATCCCCTCGGGATTGGCACCGATGCAGCCCAACCCAATGTTGCGGAGATTCGCCATTCCGAGTCCAGCGGCCTCGGACTACAGCACCGACGTTGAGGCAAATTTTCCAGAAGTTGAGGATGTTTCGAACGACGAGCATGATGCATGACGCAGCCTGACTGCAGCGTAACGAAAAACCCCTCACCAAGATGATGTACTTTGTCCTCACAGTCTTGACGCACATCAGAAACAGACGTGAAACAAATGCAATGCTACCTAAAATCTGCATTGCAACGGTAAGCTCATGCAACCTGGAAAGCTATCAACGATCAGAAACGAAGGTCAAACAATGGCCGAAACATCGTACTATCGTCATTGTCAACTTAAACTTAGGCTTTGGGATACCGGAAAAGCCAAGATAACAACACGCAGACTAACTCGACGGGGTCTTCATCATCGCAAAGAAGAACCATCATCCTTCTCAAAAACTACGTAGCTGCACGGAAGCGTTTTTATTCGTCCATCATCTGGCCCTCTCCCATCTGCGTCGACGTGATCCATTCTTCCATCATAGCCTGTCCGGCACCACCAGCCATTTCTTTGCCCTTAGCGATGCCTCTTCTCTTCACCACAAGGCAAAGGATTCTACCATATATGCTGAAGCCATCATAAGTGGTATCCATACCCAACTTCTTCTTGTCATCTTCCCCACCATCCTCTTCCTCTCCCACAGATCCTTTGCTCTTGTTCTTCGCGGAAGGCGTCTCCTGTGCATCAACATTCCCTTCATCCGAATCGTCGGAGACGAACAACCCTTCCTGACTCTCCTCCTTTGCCAATGTTGCCCTCTCATCTGCCTCACCTCCCGCAGCAGAGGGTAGGTCTGCCATACGAACACCCTCGCTCTCTTCGCTCTCCTCGGTGATCAAGCCCGGAGGACCTTCGCCCACCTCAACCGGCGCATCTCTCGTGCCCGTCAACCTCCCATCTGTAGTCCCCAGCCTGCCCTTTTCTGTTTTCGCTGTCTTCATCTTCCTGAGAATAGAATGACGGGAGCTTGTTTCAGTCAGGAAGACCGCGACTTCAAAGTCATCTGTGCACACACGCGTCCGTAGTCAGCCGTTAGAACCTGCACCTCTGACCTCACTTTCAGAATAGCTGGTGCGGGCATACCCTCGACAACAACATCCTTCCACCCCTTTCTCTTCCCAGCCTTCCCCGACTTTGCCTTGGCATTTTCCTCCCTAAGCTTCGGCAACACGAGCGGGCGGACAGCCTCAATTACACGCGGTAAAACAGGATTGCGTGAATTGAGGAGCCAGCGGTACGTGTCTGCGGGATTGTCAAGGTAGATGCGGCATTCGAGGACGGAGTATTGGGTTATGCGGAGGTAGCGGCGGATGGGTGGCATTTGGTCAGATGTAATAAGCAGCACCCATATTTAAGAAATGAGCACGCCGAACTGTTTTGCAAATCGCGAAGTAGCCTTTACTGTCATCTTTATGGCAGTAGGACAGTGAAGGTCAAGGGCAATGTTGAGAATCCACTGTCGACCGCGCCAAGGCCGATGTCTTGGCGATATCTTTGGCTTGCATTGAACGCAAGCATCATCACGCATCCAACTCCATCTGCTTTCACCTATTGCATCGCCAATCCTTCTTGAGCATATCTTCCTCAAGCCTGCCCCTGCTCCAGCACGTCACACTACACTATGCTCCAGCTACGAGCACACGCAGCAATGACCGCTCTCCGCAATTTCTTCGCCCTCCCATACCTCCGGCACACCTCAAGAACCACATCGTCACGGACGTCTCTACCGATATGTGCGTCATGTACCGCTCGTGCATTCAGCGCTGGTTGTGGAGGGTCGTTAGGACGGAGTACACACACAGGGTTATTACAGGGAAAATGGAGATCGTTGGCTGGACTACTGGGAAAGCTTGAGAAGAGGCCAGGGCTCGAGCTGGTCATGCATGAGAAGCCGAGGGTTTCGAGAGGAATGAAGGTTAGGAGCAGTGTGAAGAAGTTGTGTGATGGGTGCAAGGTAGGCCACTTGCTTGATCTGGCAGGACGGGAGCATTCCCAGCTGATGGTACGTCTTTGTCTACAGAGTGTCAGACGGAAAGGATATGTCTATATCATATGCTCGAAGAACCCGAAGCATAAGCAACGGCAGGGGTAGAAAGGGGTGCGAGGGATTGAGATTTCGGAAGTGACAATAGAGAGATGGCAGAAGGATTACGCCAGCGTGGGTTCTTCTTGAGGCACCAGCATCAATTGCTCGAGGGGGATGAGCAGCGCGGCGTCTCAAGGGAATTCACACCAAGACAGGATCCACTGTACTATGCAAACACAGTGACAGTGAAGCATATGGCACGGGTGTGGTACACGAAGAAGGCTTCAGCACCGAGGTTCCAGGATGCCGCATGACATCGCATTTGATACTGCCGGCTGTTCCAAACCATGTACATGTCAAACTCGACTTTCCACCCATTGACATTCCGGCTTCTAGTTTTCCCCTTCACCATCCCGGGGTCCATTGAACCAATTTCTAATATGCTTCCATCCAAACAAGCCTCCTCCCGCTTCACCCCACACTCTTGTATCAGGGCCCATACCAGCCTCCTGCTTGGTCACTGCTTGCTTCATTCTCTCCACCTCTTGCTTCTTCTCCATTTCTCGCCTCTTCTCCTTGATCTGCTGCTTCCTCTGCTCTAGCTCTGCAGCCTCTTTGTTCGCCTCCGTATTCTTTACATCCTTCATCTTTCCCTTCAACGCATCAATTACCCCCCTCCCATCATCACTCCGCCCCTCCCTCATCTTCATCTCCTCAATCGCCTCCCTCTCCACCTCCTCCCTCTGAAAATCCCTTACCCTACCCAACTTCTCCCTCCACTCCCTATCTTCCTGGTCTCGCGCCTCCAACTCTCGAATCCAGGCGTCTCTCTTCTCCTGCGATTTTCTTTTCTTCGCCAGATCCGTATACTCTTTCCGTTTCAGGCGGTCCGCGTTGTAGTAGTACGAGCCGCCGAGCATGGCGACGAGGGTGAATGATTGCGCATAGAGTCGGTAGCGGAAGAATTGGTTTGTGCGGGCGCCATTACCTTGGCGGATGGAGCGGCTGGCGTTGTAGAGGGCCCAGCAGGTTACGGCGACGCCGAAGGGGATGAGGGGTTCTTCTTTGAGGCGACGGGTGAATTTCTGCCAGCGGTTTTCTTCAAAGAAATCGCTGGACAATGGTCAGCTGAGGATACCTTGCGCACGGGAAATCGATGGAGAAACTCACGCATCGAAAGAGGAGGGGAGAGGTGCGTCGGACATCTTGGATTAGGAATGTCGAAAATGGGAAGAGGGAGATATCAAGAGCTCTGGGTCATGAGATCATGCAAGCACGAGTGTCCTGAAGTAAAAAGCTGCTGTCTTTCCAGTGCATTGGTAGCAGCCGTAGATCGGACAGATGATCAAGCAGGTGTGTCCTACAGCATGAAGAGTGATGTAGGAAACGAGCAGTGACTGCCATTGATTCGAGATCCTTGCCTTCTCGGGGTGGTCCATCAGATCGATCGACAGCGGAAAGATTCCGCCTACAAGCAGTGAGGTTAGAGGAACATTTTGACCGACTTTTCTAAAATTCACTGGAATTCGCTCTCCACATCCTCATTTGAGCTCTCCACTCTCTCAAGTTCTGAGGGTCCAAATCATCATGGCTCACATATCAATGCTAAAGGGCGTCCACAATAGTATGCCACTGACCGAGTACTCTGCCAATCCAACCTCAGAAAAGACCGCAGCTTCCTCTTTAGTACCAGAAGCATTTCTGCTCTCTGACGGCCACCCAGATGTATGCAACGCGCTTCACCTCACCTTAGCTTAAACTGATTAGACACGAATAGTATCTCCGCCTGATCCTCACTTCTCGAGTATACGAGGTCGTCAAAGAAACTCCCCTCACTCCAGCTATCAACATTAGCAATCGGCTAGAATGCAAAGTCCTCCTCAAAAGGGAAGACCTCCAACCTGTCTTCAGCTTCAAACTGCGAGGGGCATACAACAAAATGGCACATCTCAATTCAGAAGAGAGGTGGAAGGGGGTGGTCGCTTGCTCGGCTGGTGAATGAAGCAGCACAACCATCTCCAGCTCTGAGCTGAGAGAGTATAGGGAATCATGCTCAGGGAGTCGCATATTCTGCACGCCACCTGAAAATACCTGCCACCATCGTCATGCCCTTAGGAACCCCACCAATCAAACATCTGAATGTCTCCCGACTTGGTGGCTCTGTTGTACTACATGGCGATGATTTCGACTCAGCCAAAAGTGAGGCACACCGCCTGGAGAAGCTGCACGGCCTCACCAACATTGCACCCTTCGATGATCCGTATGTCATTGCTGGGCAAGGCACAATAGGCATGGAGCTGCTGCGGCAAACGAATCTGCAAGACTTGGAGGCAGTCTTCTGTTGCGTTGGTGGGGGTGGACTGATAGCCGGCCTGGGAGTTTACATCAAACGCATCGCTCCGCATGTCAAGATCATCGGTGTGGAAACTCACGATGCCAATGCCATGGCGCAGTCGCTCAAGAAAAAGAAGAGAGTGGTCTTAAGAGAAGTCGGCTTGTTCGCAGATGGTGCTGCAGTCAAAACCGTTGGCGAAGAGACATTTCGGCTCTGTCTGGAAGTCGTGGACGATGTCATCGAAGTATCAACAGATGAGACATGTGCAGCCATCAAAGACGTATTCGAGGATACAAGATCTATCGTCGAGCCCGCTGGCGCTCTAGCTTTGGCCGGCTTGAAGAAGTATGTGGCATGGAATCCATCTACTAATCCTAAACGACAGTTAATTGCACTGGCTTCAGGCGCAAATATGAACTTCGACAGATTACGGTTTGTTGCCGAGCGTGCCGCTTTGGGTGAACAGAAAGAAGCATTGCTTGCTGTCAAAATACCCGAGAGACCAGGGGCTTTCGCTGAGCTTGTCAAAGCTGTACTTTCCCATTCCGTGACAGAGTTTAGCTACCGGTATGCCAAAGAAGGATCTGCCAATATCCTCATGGGCATATCCATCAATGCATCCACAAGGTCCACGGAGCTTCCAGACTTAATCCAACGTCTAGGTCGGGATGGCATGGATGCGGTGGACCTCAGTGGCGACGAACTTGCCAAGTCACACTTGCGGTACCTCGTTGGTGGTCGCAGTGATGTCCGAGACGAGCTCCTGTACATGTTCGATTTTCCGGAACGACCAGGAGCATTGTTCAAGTTTTTGACTACCTTGCGATTAGATCAGAATATCTCACTCTTCCATTATCGAAACCATGGAGGTGATATCGCCCAGGTGTTGGCTGGCATCCAATGCTCCAAAGCCGAGAAGCAAGAGTTGGAGGGGTTCCTCACGAAGCTGGGCTACCCTTTCTCTGAGTGGACAGACTCGCCTACGTATCGGATGTTCCTCCGCGAATGAGGTGGCTGTGATGATATGGAGCCGCTTAGGTTCCAAGGAAACAAATGCCGTGATATGTAATCAGCTCACAAGATGCAAGTGACATATGCCCGCCAATCACTGGAGAATGATAGTCGACAGTAGCTTCAGACTTCGTGCTTCTGACAGTTGGATATCTCGGAGATTGTCCTACCGCGTTCCAGATACCAAGGCCGGCTGTTGCGTCTGGGCAGCAATCAATATCAGTTGAGGTTCTAGAAGACTTTGGAATGCACAAACGTAGAGCAACATACCCTGTGATCAAGAAAAGAGCTAGAATGTCTAGTCGAATGGATCTCGTGAGTTGCAAGCTGCTTCTCTCATCCTGCTGTGACGGGATAACTGCCAGGACCGGCCACTCCAACTGACGTCGAGGCCCCGAGGCGTGATTGCTTTCATCGGTCCCTGTTCATGATAAAATCAAGCAAAGAACCTCTCAATGTTCTCGTGTCCAGATCTTGCTATTGCGTTTCAAGCGCGGCCAGCTCGGTTCAGATTCGCTGCATTACCTATGGTGATGCCTTGACACCGGCAGCGGTCATTAATCAAATCTATCCATCGCTTTTGGATGGCACGTCTAGGCAGGAGGCTCCAGGGGATGAATAGAAGACGTCAAAGGTAAGGTGTTCAGTAGAAATACAAAGGATGAAGCATATGCAGAGGCCCAGAAGCAACCACAGCCGCGTGCTCATTGTGTTGAGCTCTCTTTCATGCCTAATCAATAATGTACGCGGTGCTTTGCTCAACGCGTCGTCGTGACGAGGTGAAAATTTTCACAATGGCAGACGCACACCCTTGCTGTCGCTTGCAATACACACAATACGCCTATCATCGGATTTCAAGATGCTCCTCCAGGATACCGGCAGTCCAGCTTACCCTGACTGGCTTGCACTGGCAATCGTCTTCACCTTACTCCTTCCGCTGCTATCATCGAGGACTGTGCGTTACCAGCCCATCTGGTACATCTCCTTAATTGTTGCAATCGATGCACTTTTCTCCTTACCTAACACGAAGTTGAAAATCTTCGTGATACTGTTCTTGTTCCGTTACGTACGACTCATTGTTAATTTGACAGCCTTCTGCTTATACAAACCCGTTGCTATTCCAACCCATCCAAGTCTAACGGCAAAAGATGTAACGGTCATCGTACCAACAGTGGCACCGTACGGAAAGGACTTCGAGGAATGCATCCAATCAATTCAAGCCAACGGACCTGCCAAGATTGTCATCGTTACTGCTGGACCGGGTAATTATGAGAGGGCGATTCAAAGCGTTGACATGTCCTCAAACATCCTGATCAAACATTGCCACGTTCAGAACAAGCGGGCACAGGTCTGCGAAGCTCTAGAAGACGAGGTACGAGAAGAGAGAGAGAACAATGGAGTCTACTACACAGGAGTTGTCTACCACACAAAAATTGTCTACCACACAGGAGTTGTCTACCATAGGAGTTGTCTACTGCACAAAAATTGTCTACCACACAGGAGTTGTATTCTGCACTGGAGTTGTCTACCACAGGAGGTGTCTACTACACTGGAGTTTTCTACCACTGGAGGTGTCTACCACACATGAAGTTGTCTACCACAGGAGTTGTCTACTACACTGGAGTTGTCTACCACAGGAGTTGTCTACTACACTGGAGTTGTCTACTACACTGGAGTTGTCTACCACAGGATGTCTACTACACTGGAGTTGTCTACTACACTGGAGTTGTCTACTACACTGGAGTTGTCTACTACACTGGAGCTGTCTACTACACTGAAGCTGTCTACCACAGTGAGTTGTCTACTACACTGGAATTTTCTACTACATAGAAGTTCAAGTTCCGAAGTCGATCAAACCCCTTCTCATCTTTTACCCAAGAGAGAGAATGTTGGAGTACCCCTTTTCATCTCCCTCGTCTCACCCCCACAGCTATGACTAGATGTGGACTTTTCGCTAACCATCAGCGGCCTTCCAGGTACATACTACCATCACAGTGCTCTGCGATGACCATGTCTTCTGGCCTCGGAACTTCCTCCCCAGCATCCTCGCCCCTTTCGAAGACCCAAACGTTGGCTGCGTCGGTACAAGCAAGCGAGTGCGCCGCACCGTCTCAAACTTCTCCTTGGCCGGCTTCTGGAACTTCCTCGGCTGTTTATACCTCGAGCGACACAACTTCGAGATCGCCGCCACCAATGCCATCGATGGAGGCGTCTTCGTCATCTCCGGCCGCACGTCGGCTCATCGCACGGAGATCCTTCAACCACAATTATTCCGCAACGGCTTTCTGAACGACTATATCCTCTTCGGCCTTATCGGTCCTCTAAACGCAGACGATGATAACTTTATCACGCGCTGGATGGTCAATCATGGCTGGAAACTCAAGATCCAGTACTCGGAGGACGCGTGTATCGAAACCACGCTGGGAGAATACCCCAAATACCTCTTCCAATGTATGAGGTGGGCGCGTACGACCTGGCGTAGCAACCCCCTCAGCCTGCTATCACGTCGAACCTGGACCACCCAGCCATGGTCCATCTACGCCGTCTTCCTCACCTCCTTCATCAACTTCGCCCTCTTTTACGACGTCGCTCTCCTCACCACGCTCCGGATCTACCTCACGGACCCGGCCAGCAGCAGCAGCCATCCCGTCACGCCCGCCACCGGACTCCTGACCCTCGGCCTCTGGATCCTGTGCTCCAAGCTCGTCAAACCCTGGCCGCATTTCCGACGGCACCCCCGCGATCTGGCCTACCTGCCCGGCTATATCCTCTTCGGATACTTTCATTCGCTCCTTAAGCTGTGGGCGCTGCTGACGTTTTGGAATGTCGCGTGGGGATCTCGGCCGCTGGGTGAGGGGGTGTCGGAGGGTGTGAACGGTGGGATGGGTGGGGATGTGATCTCGGTGGATGACGCTGAGGGAGGGGTGTCGGAGGGTGTGAATGGTGGGATGGGTGGGGATGCAGCGCGGATGATAGGGCAGGTGGAGGGGGATGAGGGGGTGGGAAGGGAGGAGTTGGAGGGTAGGTGACCCCTGGGATATGGCATTCACAGCTGCTGACACTGTGCTAGAATGATCGTTTATGGGGGGATGAGATGGATTGATAGCGGGAGGTGTGGGTATGATACCCTTTAAAATGACTGTTAATACGAAGTAATGAGATAGATAAACGCCGCGAGGCACAGGCATGATACCCTTAGAATAATCGTTAATGGGGGGAATGAGATAGATAAATGCCGAGGACAGGCATGATATAAAAAGAGAATAGATGGCGAAGGAGGTAAACCCTTAGAAAATCGTTAATGCGGGGTGATGAGATAGATAAACGCCGTGAGGCACGGACATGATGCCCTAATAGACATGTATTAATTCTTCAAAGTTCCCTCGTCTATGTACTTTACAGCCCGCCGAAACCCCGCGGACGGTCCCCAAACGCCGGTATATTACCCCTGTACACAGTCATACACGGCTTCCAAAACCCGTGTCGGAGCCGTCAAGTCGGGGTCTTTGGCCATGTTTCTGTCATTCGTTGCGGGTAAGGGATCGAACGATCCCGGGATTTTGATACCGAGGAGCCAGGTATCCACGGGAGCCAGCATGCGGGTTCTGGGGCCGAAGTCTTTGGGGTTGAGAACAATCCCATCACTTTGAGCGTGGGACTTGCTGCTGCAGTCCATCTCGCCTTCGACGTCGCTGTATACGGAGCTTGCCGTGGTGGGCGATGCAAGGTTGCTGGAGCCGGTCTCGTTGTTGCCGGAATCCGTTGTCGTCGCGGGGCTAGGTATGGACATGGACATGGCCCGCCAGTGTTCGTAAAGGAGTTCGGTGGCTTTGATGAACAGCTTCCAGCTTTGAGCCAGCTTTGATGTTGATCGGGCCGATTGCAGCTCTGACCTTGCGCGCTCTTTGAGTACTTTTCTCAAGATTTTGCCGGCAGGGTTTTTGGGGATCGAGTCGACGAATACAACGCCTCCGTCTAGGCTCTTGTATCTTGCCAGGTAGTTGGACATGTGGTTCTTGATGTCGGCCAGGTCAACGTCGCTACCAGGTACTTTGACGACGTAGGCTCGAGGGGTCTCGGTCGTCTCATCTTTGGGGTGGAGAATTCCGATGACCGCAGCGTCCAAGATGTCGGGGTGCAGCATAAGGACTGCTTGTAGTTCGGCCGGTGAAACCTGCCAGCCACGGACCTTGATCATCTCCTGTTGCAGCACGATCAGCGGCGATCAGATATGGCACGCATTGTTGGGATCGAGACCAAATCTGAGGGATTGCCCAACCTTTAACCGGTCAACGATGTAGTATTTGCCTCCGTCCTTGTATCCAATGTCGCCCGTTTTCAACCAACCTTCAGCGTCTATCATGCCTTTACTGGCTTCAGCGTTGCCGAGATAACCTTGCATGACGAGTGGTCCTCTGACGTAGATCTCAGCTTGTTCTTCGTCTCGATCAACGATGCTACCATTTTGGGCGACGAGTCTGGGGACTAGATTAGCCGTCTGTAGGCAGCAAGTTCGCATGTACCTCACTTGGCTTCCATTCCTGGCAGCAATTTGCCCACACTGCCGGTATGGTCTGTATCAGGCCAGAGAAAAGTTGTGATCCATCCAGATTCCGTCATTCCCCAAACCTGCACCACCCTCGCAGCCGGTGCTAAGATGCGAAAGAACGCATCTTGAGCCCTCTCATCCAACGGCGAGCCGGCACACCAGACCAGACGGAGTGAGGCTAGCAGTTCCCTTGTCGTTGCTTCTCCTTTCATGAGTGCGTTCAGTATCACTGGTACCAAAGGCGTCTCGGTAATCTCATACTGGTGAATGATCGATAAGTACCTCTGCTGCTCGAAGCGGCGCATTATGTAGGTCGGTACACCTTCTCGAAGCGGCGCGATGTGTGCAAGTGGAAAGGCGAAGGCGTGGAACTCCGGCAGACTGATTAACCGAGATACCTGTTGAATCAGCGTTAGTATTTGAGAGAGGGTGTTCGAGGGCTGAAAAGGCAATCCCACCTTGTATGGTTTTTCCTTGCCATCTTCCAGCATGATACTCTGCATCACGAAGCTGTGGTGTGAGATCATGGCCGCTTTCGGTAGTCCCGTGGTCCCACTGGTAGAAAGCAAAGCAGCTGTCGTATTCTTTGCTTCTTCCTCGCTCGAAAACCGCACCCAATCGCGCTCGCCATGGTTCAAGAGCTCTTGGACGGAGTTGCAATATGATTTGGTGACATAATGAGACTTTGTCTCCAGTGCGAACACATTGCAAGCTGGCACGCCATACTCTCCCACTTGGGCGACTACGGGGAGAAGTTCGTATTCTGTAATCAGAAAGCGAGCTCTGGTGCTCTGAATATGGTGCCTAAGCTCTAAATGTGTGTATCCCGGGTTCGAGCCTGTGAACCGCCCACCGGCGCCGATGATGCCAAGGAAAAGCATGGTATACATTATCTAAGACTGTCAGCTCTGCTTGGGCGCTTCTCGGGACTAGCAGATGTGTCCAGGGCGGCGGAATGATGAAAGCAGAACTCTCGCCCTTACATCATTGAACGCATGCACGCACACGCAGTCTCCTGGCTTCAAGCCTACAGCCTTCCAGCCTGCTACGAACTGCCTGACAGTGGCCCGCGCTTGTCTGGCTGATATGGACCTCTCGCGATTTTCCGGGTCGATGTAGATCTTCGTGTCTTGATCGTAGTCACAGTTCCCCAAAATCCATGAGACCAAGTCCATCTTGGAGCCTTTTTCGACAGGGTCCTCGAGAATCCAGGTATTCGAGTTTTCGCGGCGTTTGACAGTGTTGCGTATCTTGGCGATTGGGAACAGGTTGGACAAGAAGGCATATTTGTGGTTGCCGAACATTGGGGTGGTCAGTCTAAATATAAAGTCACGAGCGACCCAAGCCGACACGGGAGAGCCAATGATGTGGATGGCAATTCTTGGGTTGCCATGTAGATGTCGGTTCGGCGTGTTTCGGTTGTGGCTTCCATGATAAGTCCGAGGGAGGGCGTGACCAATGATATGTCGTAGGGCGTCTATGTCCGAGCAGGTACGGACAAGCCCGTACTGCAGCCCAGTATCGAGCTGCTCGCAGGAATACGGCACGGGATGTTAGGAAGGATGTATTTGGAATTGGGAATGCTGGTGATAGAGAAGCTTTTGAATGAGGGTGTGGGAATGAGGATGGAATGAAAATGGTGGGGGGGTGATGTCAGCCGGAGGGGGCGGTCAGTGTGGTCTACGGTAGAGCATCTGTCGCGTGGCCTCCATGTAGCAGTGTCTCTGTTCATATGCATCTTGACGCCATCTTGCAGGGCCCGCTGCATGAGGGGGAGGGATCGGGTTCAAGCCAGGGCTGAGGGTGCCGTGAATGAGGCTTCAATTGGGGTGTGCGCCTTGAGAGGAGGGTAAGGTCAGGGCACATTCAAGTGGTCATGTGCACGTTTACGCAAGCTGAAAGATTCCGGTGATTAAATAAGGACGATCTATTATTGTGTAGGCGCATACTATGGTAGACCGAAGAAGTTGAAGAGGATAAGCTGCATAACGGGGGTGTGGATTCAAAGTACTGGGATTGTGGATTGGGACGAATAGAGGATAGCTGGGGATCTTAGAGACCCGAGTGTGCTGGGTGCATGATAAAATAATGATTCTGGTGATTCAATTGATGCATGTGAAGAGACGGGAACGGCTGTGGCTTGGCGATGAGATTTGGAGATTGGAGATTGCATACATCACGCATTAAAATGCCCCGGAGGTGTCGCGGTCTGGCATTTGATTGGTCAAGTGTCTGCATAAACCAGTCCGATCCTATAGATCCTGGATTTGATCATCTGTGGAATAAATTCCAAATCCATGGGATTCAATCCCCATCGAGATGATATAACAGAGAGAGTACACAGGGCGCCAAAAGCAAAGGAGACCGGAGGAGGTCCAAGTTACATGTAAGCATGCAAACTCCCGCCCCGGGCCCGCGCCATCTTCCCTTGCAATTATATTAAATCATTGTACCCTTCCTACTTGAATCGCTAGTTCAAAATGACGAACCGTACAACTGACTCATTCAAACCCTTCCCCGTGACCAATACGTCACCATCGGTCACTCTAGCACCCCCGGACCTCAACATTCTTATTACCCTTTTCACTCTCATCAGGACCTCCATCATCCTCATCCTCATTATTACCCTCTTCGCTGTCATCAGCACCTCCATCATCCTCAACCTCATCGCTATTGGCGTCGTCGTCCATAGGAATCATATCTCTCCTGGCCAGCTGTACCTCGCCGTTCCCTCGTCCGACCAACAACGCCACCTGATCTTCCTCCCAACCCCTGCTCCTCACTTTCTCCACTACTGCGTTTTTGATTGGGTCGCTCCATTGTCGATACTCCAAAGGATTTCATCTTCCAACTCGAACAATTCTACCCCCACCCCACCAAGCAGCTCACTCATCGGATAACTACCCGCAAATACCCAGTCTATGACGGCGCTGATGTGACCATCGTGCACTACTATATTCCGGGCCACAGAAATCGCCGTGCACGAGAGCGAAAGGCTCTTGGGGAAGGAACGAGGATACATTGGAAGACAACTTGTCCCGGGCTGTTCGCAAGGACCCCAAGAACTTCTCTTTCGAAATGTTTTCAAAGAGGTTTTCATCTAGGTCTTCCGCAGACGCGTTGGTGTAATAATATATCTCTTTACCGTAGCAAGCAATCACATAGGCATGTGTAGAAGGATATGGTCCGATGTTGTAGAAGGCTGGGGAGTGAGCTTGTCCAGAATGAATTGTCAGTAGGGGCTATCAAAGTTACTTCGCTATTGCGAATAGTAACTATCTGATATTGCAAGTAGTTACTAGTCCTTGATAGCACCTTACTATTAGATAGTAACTATTCAAATCTGATTCGTAATCATAAATACCTATTAACCGTTTTGATGCATAGGGCCTTGGCGACAGAGAAATCTTCCCGCACAAATGCCAACTATTAGCAACTCAGCTAAAAAGCCTAATCCCGGGGGTGTCTGCTTGACTCCAGACACCCCTATTTGGACCTAAATAGGGCCCCGTAGGGACGTCGCAGGGCCCCTGTAAGGGCGCTGCAACACATGCGCAGCCTATATCTATGCATATAGCCACTGCCTCTTCCCATAATCATTGCTGTCGCTATTTCTCATCACCCTTATCATATCTACCCCAAAGACGTCTCGCAAGAAAGCCTTTCCGTCATGTCGATAGAGAGAAAGGACTTAACAGAAGGAAGGACTTAACGATAGCGCGATATATGTATATAACACTACTTTAGAGCGTGTTTTTAAGACGCAATAGTAACTATTGAGGAAATAGCAGGTCCGGACCTGCTACTTCAAAATTATTTGCTATCTACTATTCGTAGGGCTGACGGGTGGCAAATGGGGTCAAATAGTTACTATTTGCAATAGCAGAAGTAACTTTGATAGCCCCTAGTGTATGGGATACGTTTACGCCGTATCAGGTAATACCCTCAACATCAATCGTGACTTACTCTTCCTTTAAACAATTTGAAGCCTTCAACAGTGGGTCCGATCTATGCTCCAAAGTGAAACCGCCAATACCGCCGAGATTGATCTCACTCAGTGTGCCAATGATTTGCGCAACCTCGTCAGCAACACTTGCTTTCTCGGTTTTTGTCAAGCTAAACCATAGGCAATCTAGAGGCCGGCCATCGATGAACTCCATAGCGATATACGGACTGTCCGATCCTGATTGCTTGATGTTATAAGTGTACACCTTAGGGACTGGTATCGACGGGTGGTTTTTGGCAAGGTACGTAAGGAAGGCTATTTCGTTTTCGACTTGACATGACCAAGCTTCCTCTTTGGGCTCGCGGATGATCATCTTCCGAGATGATAGAGTCTCGATGCTGTCCGATACCTGGTAGATAATTAGTCAAATTAGGGCGGAAAACGTAGGTCAATCACGTGATGCTCGGTCGTATAGGACACAAGCCATACGTAGTTGTAGCCCCCTTGCCTTGATCTGGAAGTCATATTTTCCTGTTGGTTTGAGTGTGTATGGTGGTTCTCCATTAAAGCATTCTCCAAAGCGTTTAACCTTTCCTGTAGTGCCACACTTTGGGGCGATAGTCGCAGTACTCCATGTGTTTTTTGCAGTATCCGACATGCTTGCCGACCTGGCAATGGTGAGTAGTCGGCATTTGGAAGCTATGTTTGACGGATGAGGAAACCATTAAAGAGAATCTGTGACTCTGGCTGCACACAGTCGAAAAAAGGACCAACGATCGTTGAATATCCTGCAAAAGACCAGAAAAGAACATGCTTGGGTGAGAGCACAAAAGACTGGCAACGGTCACTACCAGGAGGGTAGCTTTAGGACAGTCTCCTGCATTCGAATGAACAGAGACACCACCCGGTAAACAAAGAGCGACAAGCCAACGCCTGTCGAACAACTGAAAGAATTCGTGCGAGAACATTTTAAGTAGCCCAGGGTCGACAAGCTGGATTATAGGCGTTCGAAAAGACGGGTTTGAAATGACCGATGGTGGTTAACTAGACCAACAACAAAGGTTCAAAAGATGCCCGCCTGACTTCGTACCTGATTAAAATTAAGATGACACGGGGCTTTGGAGGACCAAGAGGAGCAGGTCTATCAATGCCGATGGCCCACACCTCCAAAAATCGAGCTTTGTGTACCCCTGTCATTTCTTATGCTTCATCGCCGCCATCTAAACCCGAGGTGTTGTTGCGATTTCTTTTAGGGGATGATCAAGCGTGTTCCTGGATCGGTGACCCGTTCCCAATGCAGGGTTTGATAAGCTGACGCCGGGTGCTCCACCAGCAGTCAGAAAACTGCGAATCTGCTACCTAGACTCATTTTCGATTTCGCCGCCGCCATCGCAAACAAGGATGAAAGAAGCTTTCGGTCAGTGTCTGGTGGCGCTTGCAGGTGCACCCGTAACCCGGACGCCAAGCAAGTGGCGTCAGGGTTTTTGATGATTACTCGAATACCAGACATAATCTAGTCTACAGGGGGGGTATGCCGTAATGAGCTTACAATATGATTGGCTCTCGAAGCGAGGAACGAGTGTAGGGCTGGCCACAGGATACCCCGCTAATGCGAGTCTGAATACTGAGATTACTTTACAGACATAGCAATAAAATAATAGAAATCTCTGGGACCGCGCATCTTGATTGAAGCCGTGCAGCATCAAAAGGATGATAAACAAACCATTTTAGGACCTGGAAAGGGTTTTCGCACCCTTTTTGAGCTCGGTGCCAATGTTAGGGAGTGCGAAAGTCAGACAACGAAAAATGCTCCCGATGCCCTCAGTAAGATTATGACAAGGTTCTCGTGGCTGGGAAGGATTGGTTGTTCTATGGAGGCCTGCGGCAGGATCTTATCCCACCAAGCCAAGTACGCAATACTACATATGTGGCTAGCCATTGCAAGAAGCACCTTCCAACTCGCTCCCGGAGTCATCGTCGTATTGGTTTGGACTTCCCCTCCCTCCCTCCATCATACCAGGCTCAGCCTGCTGCTGGCGACAACGTACTAGTGAAGGCATCGCCCATGGCGTGCTTGGACAGCAGATCCAGGAATGCCGACAATCTCCTTATTGCAACGCCGATATAGGCTACTTCATAATCAGATGTCAGTACTAAGGCGACGTACCCGCCGAGCAGTGCCACCATCCGTTCCATGCAGTGTTCAGCTGCCTCGCCAACGTCGTTGTCGCCGAACATTGGCGGCTTCAATTACTTTCTTCAAGAGTCCGTCAGAAGACTGGCCCACGAAAAGGCAAAATCGCCCGGAACTAGTGTTGGTGACTGCAATGAATGCCTTGGGTTCTGCCACCTGTTTCTCTGGGCGCATGCTGCCAGTGACTAACAGAATGATGAAGTTCAAATCCGAATTATGTCTTTCGTGGCCCTTCGCTAGGGGATTTGACCTCAAAGCGCTTCTCAACTCATCTCTTTGACGCATACAAAAGACCGACAGAGTTCTGAAACCATACGTACTAGTTGTTTGCGGTCATTTGAATTTCATTTCTTTGTTCACGGGTAATTAGATTTTTGTCTGTTTCGTTTACTCGCAGCTCAACCCTTACAAAGTCTCATCACATAGAAACGTTCTCAGCCAGGTGTATTAACTTGTCTTTGGCACTCTGTGTCGCGAATGGCGATGGGGCTTCAGTCATGAGAGAGCAGGCATGTATAGGTGAAGTTTTGGTCGATTTTGGGCTTCATGATTTATTTATGCCTTGCTTCCAAAGTCTCATTAGTCGGTCTACATATATATAAAGGCACGATGTTATTCCCAATGCCGACCACCCGCAAGTGCAGTAAGCATCATTTTGAAGTCTCTCTCCCCAATCAGGACTGAAACCACAGTCGCATAAAACTGTTGCGGGAGGAAACGTTATCTGTCCTCTACCTCTTTCCATATTTCAGCATGCCTATATCTTCGACAGTGCCTTGGAATAGATGCTGACTCTGCGAACATTCAGTGGTCTGTAAACATGTCGGACTCTGCGACAGACACCAAGAGCGATGTCCCAACCACAAGAAAGTGTTTATCTACAAGAAAGGCACTACAGGACGTCCTCAAAAAAGTGTTGCCTGCGATAGAGGGAAACCACAACATAAGTAGCGAGGATGCTGCTATCGAAGATGTGACGGTAGACTTTCTCGCAGAGGGCGGCTACAACTACGTGTGGCTTGTTTCGTTTTCTTCAAAACCCTCTGAACAAGATGGTACAACTTCCTTGCATACAGCCATACTCCGCGAGCCAAACGACGATGCATTCTTGCCGTGGCAGATCGAAAATGAAGTTGCCCACCTCACTTTCATTGCCAAAGACCATCCCTCGATCCCAGTGCCCAAAGTCTACGCGTATGACGATGGAAAAACCGGGAACGAGCCTTACATCATGATGGAGTATATTGATGGGCAGCCTCTGGGTTCAGTATGGACTGCATACTCTGAGGACGAGAAATTGGCAGCTGCCCGACAAGTTGCCCAAATAATAATCGAAATGGGCTCAATCACATTCGCTCGGATCGGCGGTCTGACCTTGAACCACGAGATTGGGCCAACGGTGGAGGGCATGAAGTTGTTCAAGGGTCGAGTATGCCGTCTCAAAGTCGCAATAATGAACGTATACGTGGACTAACTCCACGCTCGCAGGACAAATTCCATTCGCCAGACTGTTACGACATAGGACCTTACCACTCAACGCACGCTTACGTCCTCGGCTGCTACGACAAAGAAGTCTACTACTATACCCATGCTCCTGACAGTGATATTGATGAAGGCTGGTTTGACGTCGTGACAAGAGACACATTCATCAAATCTTTACGAGAGACTCGGGACAGACTAGCCTCAACCCCATCAACGTTTCTCCCAGAGCAACCATTCACCCTAGTTCACAACGACCTCAACGGCCGCAACATCATGATGCGGGATAAGAAGATTGCGGCGATCTTAGACTGGGAATTTGCAGGTAGCTACCCGCTGAGTGAGATGCTGGAAGGCAGAGGTGTGGATCTGCTGGAAATAGTGGATGATGAGACGGAGGAAGAGAACAGCGCTTGGAGTCTCCGCATGGAGGAGCTAGTGGCCGAGGCGGCGAGAGCAAGAGGATGGGATGAGGGGAGGGTAGAATTGTTAGTTGGGAGGGGAAACGAGGAGCTTGGTCTGGCGAGGATAGAGATGGTTCCCGAGTTTTTGGCTAAAGATGCAACTGATATTGGTGCCGGCGACGATGCTGACAATGGTGTTGGAGGTTCCTGAGGCTGGACGGCATTGGTAGTCTAAGTTGCTTCCTTTCTTGGTGATGTACGGCGCCTAAGCAATTCTGAAAGCCTGAACATTTGGCCTCATCAGTGGCGACTGCGCTGGTCATAGTGAGACAATGTTTCAATAAGCCTAGTTGCTCCATGAGTACTGAGGTTTACTATGAATGCTAGCGATGTGTTCCCTCGACCGTCAGCACAAGAAATGGCAACTGAAGCGGCATACGACCCTCAGATATTGACAGAAATCATCGACAGTGTCTTTTCCATCATCAACCGTCAAAATCTTTCGCGACCGCACTAGGTCATCAAGGAAATGGTCTTCGAGAGAATCGGCAGCCACCGGTAAAGTAATTAGTTCTTGCGGGCACCTTTCCCGAGCATAAAGTACGGATAGGGGTCCTGAAACAATTAGTACCGTAGAGTAGCCTGCATCCAGGTTTTCCCATCTCGTACAATACCGGTTGATATGCAATGAACCACGAGCTGATTACCAAGCTGAAGTATGCATTGACTCCCCGGGCACGCAATGTACTCCACACCCCTGCGAGGCCAACTGGGCTACAAGTAAGATGTAGAACTCTATACGCAGGAACAAAAAAGGTGCACAGCCTCAGTGGGTTACTGATCGTATGTAAGTCGCTGCTCCGAGATGAATGGTGAATCCAAACCCTTGTCCGTACTAAACGGCTGCGCCCACTCACAATCATCTCATTTTGGCAAGAGTAACCCCTCGTGCCATTCCCGACTTTTTCTGTCGTCGCAACCAGTCGACCATAGCGTGTCTTGACAGCTAGATCTGTTCGCTGTCCACATCGTCAGGTGTATACACCACCATGGATCTCTCGAGTAACCACCTGGAAAATGCCACCAGCGTGGTAAGGGCGATGAACACGCTCGTTGACCCTGTCCGTCAAGCCCAGCCAGGGGCCCGAGAAGGCTTGTTGGCGCTATCTCATCGATTGACCGCGATGGTGGAGACGCCAAGCGAAACCGTCCAGAGAATTGGCTGGGCAGAGGTATAGCACAGCGCCTTATCTGAAGACATTATGGAATCCTATCCTACGAAAAAGCATAAACTGATTCCATCCAGTCGGCCCGGTTTGCAGCGATCAAAACCGCAGTCGACTTGAAGATCTTCGATGCCCTCAACGAAGCTGGCGGCGATTCGTAAAACATCTCGAAGCTTGCAAGCCAGACGGGCGCCGAGGACTCATTGGTCGGTATGGTTTTCGAGTCCAACCGGATCCCCTGTGCATGACTGCAACGAGACTTGACCGCTTACTCTCCCATCATGGGTAGCTCGGACGATGAAGCATCTTTCCGCCATGAACATCGTTGGCGAAACGGGTGCCGATGAATTCTCCCCAACTCATTTTTCTAATGCCCTGACTTTTCCCAAACACCGTGATGGGATCAGCTACTGGTTTGCAAGCGACATCCCGCTTTTGCCGCTTGTCATGCTGACCCACTGCAGCTTTGACGTTGCAGGCCCGTCCTTTCACGGGACGCCTGGTTATCTCAAAAACACCAAGTATCAAAACCCGAGGAACATCGCCGATGGACCGTTCCAACACGCCCACCACACCAAAGAACCCTTCTTTGTATGGCTAGGGGAGAGACCTGAGCATTCCGAACATTTCAACAACTACATGAGCGGATACCGTCACGGGAAGCGCAGCTGGATGGACGAAGGCTTTTACCCACTGAAAGAAAGACTCGGAGTCGACACGCCAAATGACGAAAAAAATCCGGTCTTCCTTGTGGACGTAGGAGGCGGTCTGGGTCACGATCTAGAGGAGCTGAAAGTCAAGCATCCAGGCATTCGGGGTCACTTAGTGCTACAGGACCAGCCGGAAGTCATCGCCCAAATCGGCAAGGCTTCGGATGGCATTGAGTTGACTACCCATGACTTCTTCACTCCACGATCTGTCAAAGGTTCGCATCAAAATCGGTTTGAGTTGCGCGAGAAGCTGACTGGGCGTTGACCTAGGTGCTAGAGCATATTATCTGCACTCCGTCCTCCACGACTGGGATGATGCTTCGTGTCTCAAGATTCTTCGAAACATTGTGCCTGCTATGCGACCCGGATACTCAAAGCTGCTTATCAATGAGAACGTCGTTCCCGACGTCGGAGCGGCGTGGTCGATCACATCCATGGACTGGTTGATGATGGCTTTGGGCGCCGTCAGGGAGCGGACGGAAAAGCAGTGGAGGGGTTTGCTTGGGCAGGCAGGACTGAAAGTTACAGGGGTCTGGACTTATGAACAGGGAACTGAGAGCTTGATCGAAGCGGAGACTGAGACTTGATGGGCCTTTCCGATAGAATTCAGAGTCTTGTCGCTAGCTTCGTTCTATTATCGACCATTGTGCACATGATGGGTAAGATGTCAGATTCACTGAGACGATCCTCTTGTCGAGGCTAGCTGAAGAGTGACGTCTGAGCTTGAAGCAGGATCACAAGTGGCTCTAGTGATGGCCGTTGCTTTCTATTTAATCATTAACACTTGCTGGGAGGCTGGCTTTAGCCAAAGCACTACTCATAGCCTTGGCCATGGCCTCCTCTGCATCATATCCGTAGCACCAATCTTGGGTGACAGGATCACTCCATTGATTCGGACTCTCGTCGAAGTGAAGGCCCTCGACCTCAGGGCGCATAGCAATATCACGAGCCTCCTGTTCGGGACCGTCTGCAAAGTGCCACAGCTTACCGTTTATGAGGCTGGCTTCTTGCATCTGGTTTGCGCGTTTGACTCGGATGGTCTCGAAAACGTTCAACGCTATCTGTAGCTGACTCTTCGATCCGATCATACTTATGGCTTCAGCCAAGCCAGCGGCGTCTTCAACGGCCATGGCGGCGCCTGTTCAATACAGTCAGTGGACATTTGATCCTGTTTCACATACATTCTCGTCACTTGGATCGAGGCTTACCTTGTGACATGTATGGCAGCATAGCATGAGCAGCGTCCCCCAGCATTAGCAATTTGCCAGTGGGTGCGACCCACTTCTCGACCGGGGCTCCGGTCATCAACGGCCACTTCATTGTCTTCTCGATCATGGCGATGAGTTTCAGTAGACTATAGTGCGTCTGTCAGTTACGCTATGAAAGTCATAGTGACCAACCTACGCCGGATCCCATCCTTTGAAATGGTCCTTCATGCTTTCTAAGGCCTTGCCCTGATCCCATGTCTCTGGATCTTCTTCTTCCGGATGGGAGAGAACCATATTGAAGGAATTTCCCCCAGCTATTGTGTAGGTCATTACGTGACGCATCTCGCCAATCCTAATGAAACTGGATGTTGGCTTCAATTCTGGAAATGAGATTGCTTGGTCAGAGTGAATTACCAGACATTCATGCCTGGCTTCTCCAGTATCCAAGAGACAGCAGGGTCCTCTCTGATTTTCTCGACACCTACGGTTGCCCGATAAGCCGCGAATCCTGTTCTAAGTGGAACTCTATCGACGCCATCTAGAATCGTTTTACGGGAAACAGAGTTAATTCCTTCGAGATTCCTTGATCAGAACGCGGCAGCTTTTGCTTCTCCAGAATTGGTTCACATACCGTCAGCCGCTACTATCAAGTCTCCCCCGAAAGTGGATCCGTCCTGGAGGGTCAGAGACGGGCCGTCCATGTCATAATTCATCACTTTGCTCGCAGTAAGGATTCTAACACCAAGCTCCCTGGCCAATCTTTGCATTGATTCGTGGAGATGAGCCCGGTGAACGACGTAGTACGGAGCCCCGAATGTGTCGTGAAAGTGAGGAACCAAGTTCGTATAGCCAATGACGTTGCCATTCTTCCAACGCCGAAAAGATATATCCTTCGGCTCGACAACTTTGCCGTCGAGTAAAGGCCCCAGGCCCCATCGTAAGAGCAGCCTGCTGACATTGGACGGTACTTGTATGCCGGCACCAACCTACCATGCTGTCAGCTTCTAGCTTTGCTATTCAGATCTCAGAGGTTCTTACCTCACCCATCTGAGGCGCTTGCTCGAATATAGTGACCGCATGACCTTTTCGTGCCAGCGCAATCCCGACGGCTAGGCCGCCGAGACCAGCACCCACGACTAAGACATTCAGAGCGAGTGAAGAAGGACTTAGGTTGTTGATTTCGCAAGATGCCTTGGCGCTCCCTCCTGTTCTGGGCAACGCCTTCAGAAAGTTGAGACTTCGGGTTGGATAGGATGGGATCTGAGACTCTCAGCAGGTCCCGTGAACAGAGGCCCGTTGCTCTTTACCGGCAGTTCACTGGAAGTCACTGCACTTTCACTATCACCCTGACTCGTGTAAAGCATCTTTGGCGTGATCACTTCTTCAGCAAAGCGACTCTATGAGCTAGTGTTGGTTCAATATGGGAGCTCGGGAAATCCGTCTGGGGAGCGAGCGAGGGGAGGGGCTCCGAGAGAAACTCTATTCATACTCTAGGATAAACCTTTCTCCGAATTGCTTGGCAAACGGTCAAAACAATATTGGCCCACATCTCAGGCTCTGAGCAGACGGCAATGGTTCTCGAGCTCCATATCTGGGGCCCAGCCTTCTCCCTACCCTCAATCGATCCGCATTGTCTTACCGCCATTGCATACTTAGCCCAGGCGTTACCTCGAGATCAATGGGTCCTCGTTGCGAGTTCTGATGCCACATTGAGTCCTACCAGTCCGTGAGCCACCACACGCTGCGACCTGTGTATCGCTTTGGGTGGAGATATGTACTGAGACAGGTGACAGAGGAGCTACCGGTGCTTCAAGATGGCTCGGCGACCATTGGCGGCTTCGAGAACATCGTGGACTATCTACGCAAAAGGTCTGATGGAGATTGGGATATAGACCGGCAATTTTCCAACCCAAAAGACAGGGCAGACGTCACCGCGTAATTGATCTAGTTCCTCAACATTCAAGGATCCACAGCTGATCGTCTCGCGTTCTAGCTTCTCCTCCTTCCTTACCTCCCAAGCCCACCCCCTCCTCGATCTCTCCCTCTATGTCGCTAGCGAAAATTACTCCAAAACCCGCACCGCCTACTCCTCAATCCTCCAATGGCCAACCCAATACTTTGTTCCACCTCAGCGACGGACAATCGCCAAAGCGCGGACCGAGCATATGGGCCTTTCGTCTCTAGACCTCGACACTCTAGATGAGGAACGAAGAAGCAGCAGGAAAGCTGCGGATCTCATACCGCAATCATTACGGACGTCTCGGCCCACAGTGACGGGGCTGATGAAGGAAAAGCAATCGAGTGCCAGGTTCAAGTTGGATGCGCTGGTGGATGCGGCGTTCAAACCATTGGAGCAACTTTTGGGAAAGAAGAAATGGATGTTGAGCGATGAGAGAGCGTCGAGTCTGGATTGTGTGGCGCTGGGATATCTTTCGTTGGCCTTTATACCGGAAATGCCGTTATCGTGGCTTGCGGAGGGATTGCGGGGGAGGTATCCTGACTTGTGCAAATACGTGGAAGACGGAGTCAAGGAGGTCTTTGGCGGGAAAGTAACGGTGGAGGATGCGTTACTGAGCTCGACAGGAGAGCAGTCCGCCATGATTCAAGGAGAAAATGAGAGTGGACTGCCTTGGAGAGCCCCCGAACAAAATCTTAGCTCAGCAGGCGCAAGCATCCTCAACAGCACGTTCGACTCAGTGCCCTTCTACAAACGCACCATCGTCACCACCTCATCTACCCAGCCACAACATTCAACAGACGCACCACCACACTCGCTCACATCGACACTTCTACCACCCTTGCTAGCAAGCGCCGGGGCGGTCGCAGCTATAGCCAGCTACCTCCTCTACTCCAACCTTAGCAAGCAAGAGCCAGAGAAACGGAACTTATCAGATATGGGCGAAGCGGGTGCTATGTTTGCGGGATTGGATTTTGGGGAGCCGAAGAAAGAAGTCAGGGTTCCGCCAGCGGAGGGGAGGGTGCCGGTCGGGGTGGAGGTTGACATTGAGGGTGTTGGGGAGAGAAGGGGTTTATGAGAGTGGAGCCACTGTTATTGAACCTCTTTTTGACGCTGAACTCAACTCTGGGGATGGTGCACTCGTCATACGGGACAGACAGGTTCCAAGCCCTAATTACTGAATTGACTTCGGAGGTGACAGGCAGTGGAAGCAGCATCTTTGCCTCGAAGTCAGCTCGGGTCTTCGCTTGTTACCGCTCTTCAAAGACGTTGATATAGGTGGCGTACGAAGCCGCCAAGATATTCATGGGCAGCTGTCCATTCTCGGCAGGAGAACCTTAATCAAAGCAGTCAAGCAAATGTCCGTTCCATGCGGGATCAAAGTGATCTGCGACTGCCACCCGCTCTAATCTGGCTGAACCTGCCGACGTTCCAAAAAAGCTGCCTCCTTTCCACCAATTCTTCTTCAATATTTGGAGCGTGGAAGCCGCATGGCGGTGTGATGCGGATGGACAAGAAACATAGTTGGGAATAGTATAGTGATTATTCTTTTCGAATATATTTCAAGCCCATTTGCCCAAAAGAGCCATCAGACCTACTCAAACGTCAGTACCTTTGCCAATCGCCGAGTGCCCTTTGGGGGGAGGTGGCCGAGGACTCACCAGCACCCAAACACATCATCCCAAACGCAGCCATCACGACCCTCAGCTTCGCCCTCCTCATCACACTACTGAACATAAACTCATGCGCCATCAGCTCCACCAGCCCCGTATATATCAATATCCCCGCACTAATGCTATCAAACACGCCCTCCACAATAAGTCCCGTCTGCGATCCCGGCGAATACGTCTCCCTGACCCCCAAGCCCACTGCCATGGAGACCGGCGTTGATATACCGTACCCCAGTGCGAATAGGTATGGGGTCCACCGTGACGATTTCGGCCAGGGCGTGGCCGCTAATCGAGACCCGAGACCCAGGCCTTCGAACGTTTGGTGAAATACCAGGACTATGTAGAGGGTGTCGAATTCTTGTCCTGCGACTGCGAGGGTAAGGCCAACGAATATGGAGTGGAATATCACGCCGAACTCGAGGATGAATATTGCGGTCATTTGCGCCGCGTAGTCTTCTACTTCGTGCGGAGGTTTGTCGGGTTTGGTGTGGATGGCTGGTTCCTGGGAGGTAGGGTTGTCTTGATCATCGTGGTCGATGTGCTCGCGGGTGTGGGAGAGGTGGTCTTCGCCTGGTGTATGTTTTTGGCCGTTTGAAGGGGAGCGGGTGGTGCGGATTTGGAGGCCGTGGTCGTCTTGCTCGTCGTCGTCATGGGTATGTCCGAACGAGGAGAATGTAGCGAAGCGCATGGCCATCAATTCGATGAAGAAGAGCACAAAGATCGTCATGAGTGCTATACCTTCGGCCCAGTCGTAGTCCGTTATCGGGCCCTTGAGGCAAGGGTCTGTAAGGGCATCGCAGGCGGGAGCGAGGAGGTGGATGAATGCAGTGGCTATTATGACGCCGGAGCCAAAGTATTTCGCAATGAAAAACGCCCATTCCGGAACGCCTACGCCTCGATGGCGACCCGCGTAGACTGGAAAGGCGGCCCCTATTGTCGTTAGTGATCAATTGGTAGATGCGCTGGATGATGATTGCTGAGAGTACCAAACATTGAGCCAACCAGTATCACGAAGATGGCTGAGACACGCAGACCTATGCGCCCATCATAGTCGTTGTCCGAGTTGCAAGCAGGCTTCGCAGTAACTGTTGCTGCTGCTGATGAGGACGCCGCCGCCGCCAATTGAAGTGCTCCTCGAGCGACAACACTGGCTACGGCCTGCACGTCCTCCATCCTGCCGGCCCACAGGCTAGTGCTGAATCTTCAAATCAAGATGGATGCAACACTTTATGGCTCAGCTTGATGTAATAATTTCTTTTTCCGTCAAGTTGACTTCGGATTTCTTCGGGGCGCAAAACAAATAGAGTAGTTCTTCGGGCTTCTTTGCTTGGCCTGTGGCCCTTTTGGAACGCTAAATGGGATTAAGTACAAATGGAAGCGACAGTGATGATGCTATGTACAGAAGATAGAATCGAGAAAACAAAAGCCGCACGCAATTATCATCAATGCCCACTGGTAACCTACACAGATGACATATAGAATGACGAACAATGGGAAAGTAAAGTAAGTAAACTGAGGCTAAAAGGCGGGACATAGGAAAATTGACTTTTCGATTAAGCTTCGCGCCTCAGGGGTACACATTTCAGCTTCCAGAGGCGCACTTTTCTAAGGTATCCCCACTCTGAAGACAACGACAGCTTGTGCATTCATCTTCACCATATGTCAGTCATCTGTCAGAACGTTGGGCGATATAGGTTATACAGTAGAGAGGCTTGGCCCCGCAGTTGGTGAAGTCACCCTCAGAATCTTCCTGATCAATCCTTAGTCCGGTTGACAGAGACCCGTCGAGGAGACTCGAGGACAGAGAGCATCACCAATGCTTCGAAATACTAGGACCAGTCCCCGTCATTTTCTACGTCCTTTGGCTTTCCTTCAATCGACAAGAGCTCCTGGATGCTCCAGGGTTTGTAGGTATATCTTGGAGGGATGTTCGTGTTTTGAAAAGGTTCGTCTGTAGAAGTGGTTTTCCCATAATTCTCATATGCATAGTCCTCTGCATCGTGCTGCCAAAGCCATTTGCCTTAACTAGCTTGAACGGTGCTTGGCTTTATTGCAGCCGCTTTCCAGTCAGGTCTGTGACGAATGTTTTGATTCACAAAGCCCAACAGCTGACAGCAACAAACGCGTTCAAATATATAAAAAAAAGATTAGATATAGAAAAGTATATAAAAGTATATTTAATAATTCTAGAATAAATTAACAATATCTATAATAATAATTAGAATTAAGAATTAGATATACTTAAATAAGAGATAACTTTATATTACTTATATAATAGCGATAATAATAATTAAGATTAAAATATCGACTTAGATAATATAGCTTTTATAGTAAACTTTTTATTACTATATACTAGATTAATTATATATAAATAAAGATTTATAATTTTATCTTTTAGATATAATTATATTTAATATTTTAAGATTTTTATAATAGCTCGATACTTATTAATTAGCGCGTTAATATTATTATATCTAAGCTATAATAGCGCTTATTATTAAATTCTATATTATACTCTTAAATAGCTTAAAAAATAAGATCTACTTAATTATTAGCGCGTATAATAAAATTATTCTTAATACTTATATCTTATTTAACTTCGATATTATTTATTTTCTTTTAATTCGAGCTTTTATCTTTATTTATATATATAATAATTCGCGCGATAAGCGAAACTTTAGACTTCTTCGCAATTACGCTCGCGTACTTTTTTTTATATAATATTATTAAAATATAAGTTTACTAGAATAATAATTAGAACTAGAAATTACTTATCGCTTATCTATTATATCTTATCTAATTTATTTAAAAGCTTACTTCTATTATAATAACGATATATTAATATATTTAACTTTATACTTTTTAATAATTATAGCGTAATTAATAGCTAAGATATTAACTTTCTTTACTTTTTTAATTAGCTTCTTCTTAAATATAAATATATTTATTCGCTATCGCGATCTCTTAATATTTTTATTTTAATTAAGCTTATTCTTCGCTTTTTATTTTAATTAAGAGTCTAATTATCGTCTAATTAATCTATATTAAGACTCTTTAATATCGCTATTATTATTAATATTTAATATTTATTATAATAAATTATTAGACTTAATCTCTTCTACTTTAATTACTATAAAAAGATAAATTAGTAGATATATATAAAAGAATTAAAGGGCTTATATGAATATCTATAAATATTAAGCTATTCTTAATTTTAATTAAAGCTTGTTTTATTAAAAAGTGCGTTAATTCTAGTAAGTATCGATATTAGAAATAAAGAGAATATATATTACGCGCTATTATAAGTATATTATTATAGAGTTTAATTTAAAGAATAATTATTTCTATAAAGATAGTAAGACTTAAAGATAAGAAAGTAAGAATAAAATATATAAAAATTTTAATAAGTTATAGTAGTTTAATATTAGTTAAATTAGATAAAGATAATTACTTACTAGCTCGCTCTTTTAAATCTTTTATCTTTTAATCTATATAAATTATAATAATAATTATAATTATTATAAAAGTAGCTAAGATTATATTAGATAATAGCGCTTAATAAATATAATTCGCTTAAATTTAAATCTTTAAAATTAAAGAGAAAGCGTTTTATTAATATTTAATTTAAGCTAGATAATATAAAGTAATCTAAAAATTTAATATACGCGATAGATATCTAAGCTTTTCTTCCCCTCTTCTTTCTCTCTAAGACTTTCTTTTTTATATTAACTCTTCTTATTATTAAACTATCTTCTTTATATATTAGACTTCTATTTAAATAATCTAATATTATTATAATTATATTAAAAGTATAATATAGTTATTAAGTTATATATTTATTCTTTTATCTTTTAATAACTTTAAGCTAATATATAGATAGATCGCGCGAAGAGCTTAATTTATATACGCTTAATCTATTATTAATAGCTCTTTAAAAAAGCTAATACTATTCTAGAGTGCTAGATATAGCGTTAAAGTAAAGTCTTTATTAGATATTATTATCGCTTTAATCGCTATCGCTATTACTTTAATAGATATTATCTCTACTTTAATAGATATCGCCTTTACTTTAATAATATTAAGATATTAATAAAAATTAGATAATATATTCTTCTAATTATTATTATATTTATTATATATAACTAACGCGAGCTATAGCTCGAGCTTTACGCGAGATTTATTATTATTAAAAATTAATTAATCTTATAATTTTAAAGCTTCTCTTTTAGCGTCTAATTCGTTAGATTATACTTAATTAAAATCTATTAAAGCGCTATTATATTTAAAGATTTACTTTTAAAGTATTATATAAGATAATAGAAGTCTTTCTAATTCGTTAGTTTAAGAGTAAATCTTTTATTATTACGCTTTATAATTAGCTCTAATAATTTCTATTTAAATAAATATT